CTCACCCAACACACCGTAAGCTAACAGAGGAGGATTTTGCAAAAGTAGCCGGCCTATCAAACGCTGGCGTCGCGCCCAGGGATATCCGGACATACATACGACAAACCACAAACTCTATAGCAACCCAACAGGATATCTACAATCATATTGCAGCCATCGTGTTCGTGGAGGCCAGACCTCAATCCACGCACTTGTCAATCAGCTTGACGAGGAAGGCTTTTGGAGTCAAATACAATTCGCACCAGATGGCCGCGTTACAGCTATCTTGTTCGCCCATCCAGATTCCTTGGCCCTCCTACAAGCTTACCCAGACGTAATGTTGCTAGACTACACTTACAAGACCAACAAGTACGGTATACCGCTTCTTAACATATTTGGCGTCGATACTTGCCAGCGTTCCTTCTATATCGCGTTCGCATTTCTTAGTAGCAAAACAGAAGAAGATTATACCTAGGCTCTAGAGCGGGTCAGGTCCTTATATGACCAGTACAACGCTAGCCTACCTACGGTTATCCTCACAGATCGCTGCTTAGCATACATCAATGCTGTAGCCGCTGTCTTTCCATCTTCGGCATCTTTGCTTTGCCTCTGGCATGCAAACAAGGCGGTGCTTCAGCATTGCTACTCTGCGTTCGACCTTGCCAAGACGAAGACAACCAGTAGCCCTGCAGCGCCAAAGTCATCGACTGACAACTGGGAAGAGTTCTACAAGTCCTGGCATTTGATTATTAGCTCGCCGTCTGAGATGACCTTTCGGGAACGTGTTTCTTACTTCGAAGAACGCTATCTTACGGACCATCTTGAAGAAGTCGGCTACGTTACGTCTTTTTGGCTCTATCCGTATAAGGAGAAGCTAGTGAAAGCCTGGGTTGATCAGCATACGTACTTTGGCAACGTGGCTACCTCGCGGGTTGAGGGTATCTATGCTCTGCTTAAATCGCACCTAAAGAGGTCTACGTTGGATCTGTTCGAGGCTTGGCGAGCGATAAAGCATGCGTTACTCAATCAGCTCTCGGATCTAAGATCTAATTAAGCCAAACAATAGACACGAATACCGGTCGAGCTTTCGGGAATAATATATGGCGTAGTACTTGGCTGGGTATCGTATGAAGCTCTCCGGAAAGTAGAAGAGCAGCGGAAGCTGCTTAGTAAGAATGGTATAGACCATTCCTCAGTCTGTACGGGGGCCTTCTCTCGTGTGTACGGTCTGCCATATCTACACAAATTAAAGGCTTTACAGGAACAAAATCTTGTTCTGCTACGTGAGCACTTTTATGCGCATTGGCACTTGAGGCGTGAAGGAGCGCCGCAGTTGTTACTAGAGCCTCGCCAGCGCATCGAGCCCAGGTTGCAATCGGAGAACCCCTGAATTCCGAAGTTAAGCACTAGGCGAGAGCTAAGTGGGTCTGAAATCATTAGAATTTCATCACGGGCCCTAAGCACATATAGCAGGTGTCATATAGCTAGCCATACTATAACTTCGAAGGCGTGCCCTCTACAATACTCGCATTTATTACTTAAGCTAATACCTACTCCGGGTCTAGTTTTAATACCGAGTACGGGCTATTCTACTACACGGGAAGTTACGGAAAGGCTTCTATCGAACACTATACAATCCATACTAACCTTAGCTCCATCGACTATAGATAGAGCAGTAGATGCCGGGATATCACCACCTAACGTACAATCGCCGTCTCGGCGTTCGCCTTCACCCTCGCTTCCAAGATACGATTCGCCCCAGGCAATATACGAACAATGTTGTGCGGCGAGAGGCGCCTGGTATGCCGCCCAGCCTCGTGGAAGTGTCAAAACAAACCAGGAGTATCGGAGGGCAATAGGTCTTCCACTACGTTATAGGAAGAAGTCTTATAAGTAGTGTCTTAACTATAAGCAGATAAACAGACGCTACACCACCTCCAAGGGGTCAAGAGATTGGCTAAAGGAAGAGATAATGGCTTATCTAGTGTCAGGCCCATCCCAGTACACTCGTTACAACGATTGTCACACTATGCCTATGAAACAATATGGTCCTACACAAGCATGACTAAGTTTGCCAAGGATATGCCAGTATAAAGGGTCTTCCATTCACTATATAGATAGTCGGGATATTCCCATAGCCACTCGTTCTTCATACTCATCAATACATCCCATTGACCCCCTACCTGGTAATCGCTGCCCAACATCTAGACTGGGACAGAGCTGAGCAGGAACGGGTTGATAAGCTTGTTTTCGCTGAGGAGGGAGACAACCCTTTTCGGAATAGCAGCAGAGGTATAGGCGATATCTAGAATCGAGTCGCGAGAGACAACGCCGAACAGGAGGCGTTATATGCTAAGAATCTACCCGAAGAGTGTATTATGGTTAAATCGTAAATTAAAAGGATAATTGGAACCTAAGTCGCGCCTCCGATTGGCTCAAGACCCGTGCCGCCAGCTTGCTTAGTCATTTTCACGGGTACCCGTGGAATTTTACATGCACGGGTACCCGTGAGCCTATTGGGAGCCCACAGGTCGGGTGTTATTACATAATATCTCGGGGGAAAGAGTCTCCTGGGTTCTGGCACAGCCACAATGAGAGCATCACCAGCCTCAACCGCACGCCATACTCATGACAAGATCTTGAGCCACACCAACTCCTAACTCCCAACTGAGAAGAAGAGTTTGAGTGCCGTCAGCTGTATACAGCTGGTCTCTAGCCAAGAATCCGAACCCGAACCGAGCTGCTCGCGTCGTATTGCTGCTGCAGATTCCAGTACCGCTGTGCAGCTGCCAGCACACTGCAGAGCACAGCACATGGCAGCTTTCGCTCGGCCTCGCAAGCTGAAGCTGATCCCTCCAACCTGGCGTGCCTGGAAGAATGCTGTCATCTTCCCCGGCCGGCACCGCTGTCCGACCCTCGGAGCACATAGGATCGGCCACGCTGCCAACTCCCCAATGGCTTGCCAAGCTCAGCGTCAGGCGATGCATGATTCCAAGACCGAGGCAATACCATCTCCAACCAGACCAAGCTAAGCCGAGCTGACCTTGGAATCTGGTGCTCCTGAGGTGGACTGATTATAGATCCAAGAACAGAAAACATTGAAAGACCAACATCTCCCAGGGGTTTGCAGAGTTTAGGCACACCGTCACGTACCATATTGAAACCTAACCATCACGAACAACAGTCATACATAGACACGTCAGGCCTTTAATTCACCAACAACTTCTAGGTTGAAGCAGGCTCCATTGACCGCCGGTCATCTACGGGAACATAAACACGAGCACCTCCTCCAAGAATCCATTATTGGATCAAAGCCCCAAGGAACTCGTCGAAACCGAGACTGTCACCTTCAGACAGACCCAATTCGAAAGCCATCGATACACCTAGCAGGCACCCTCAAAAGACCACAAGAACGCCCAGCATGTGCATCGTTCTACTCACTACCGCCCACCCCGACTACGCCCTCATCGTTGTCGACAACCGGGACGAGTTTATCCTACGCCCAACGTCCCGCCCGCACTGGTGGACTCATCCTTCCGGCGCCACTGTCCTCTCTGCCCGCGACCTTCAAAGAGCGGAGAAGGGCACCTGGCTCGGCATCACCAAGACCGGCCAACTCGCAGTCCTCACCAACTACCGCGAGACAGATATACAGGATGCCAACCACCCCATTCACGCTGCCCGCAGTCGCGGAGGCATGGTCACCGCCTGGCTGGGATTCGATCCCGCAGAGCCCGCCCCAACATCGGTTAATCACCTCGTCAAGGATGGGGGTGTGAAGGGCGTCGGGGGTTTCTCCATGGTGGCGGGCAAATTGAAGCGAAAGCGCGGTACCGACGAAAAGCCTGAACGTGCGCTCGAGGGTATCGCCATTATCTCCAATCGGTGTGACGAACTGCAGGACGTACCGTGGATCGGAGAGCAGCGAGGCGAGGTTTACGGTCTCAGCAACACCGTGTACGATGATCCCAAACCGTGGCCCAAGGTTGAGAATGGAAAACGTTTGATCCAGGAGGCCATCCAGGAAGCTGTCTCGAACAATTTGGACGAGGATGCTCTAGCTGAGCGTCTGTTCAAAGTCCTGGACACCGATACGCTGCCCAAGCATCCAGATATGAGCTTGGCGGACTACATCAAGGAGTTGAAACAATCCATCTTCGTGCCTGCCTTGGGCGACGAGAGTCACCGAAAAGCCATGGAAGAGGCAGTCTCCAGAGGCCCGGGTCAGTGGGCTACGGATGACCAAAAGGCAGCCGAAGGCCTGCAGCTGGGTGAACGACCCGATCCTCCTGCCCAAGGCACCATGGGCTTCGAGGTGGGTTTGTACGGGACACAGCGGCAAACCATCATCATGGTTGACTGGGATGGCAACGTGACATATCGCGAGAGAGCATTGTGGGATGGTAATGGCAACGTCATTGAAAGAGGCCAGGGTGACGAGGTATTCAAGTTCAAGATTGAGGGATGGGAGAACTGAAGTGTCTGGCTCGCACCGAGACGTTACTACATGTAAAGGGTCCTGCATCATCGATATCGGCGCTGGATGTCGTCCTTGCCCCATGCATCATGACACGGCATAGTTTAACGAAGCAAAGATTTATGAGCACTTTTCAGCCACAGTAAGAGCGATGATTAGAGAGGGAAGTGACGCTCGGTAAACATACCAAGATGCGGCAGAGGCTGCCTCCACCACCTGTGGTGGCATAAACCTCGCGGCAGGGGCGTTAGGAGAAGTTGACGATGATGGCAATGATAACAGCACTCGACCTTCCTCGATGATGCAACTCTCTTTTTCTCTCTCGCTCGGCAAGAGCTGCATGTGAGTCGACATCTGTTCAAGGGCCTCGACCGTGCACTCGATGTCGACGCGTCCTCCAAACATCCAACAACATCAGAGCACTTTTTCATCTGAACCTCACCTTTGGCTCACCTCGCCGCGGCTGCAATTCACCACTCTGACTGCGTATTCCAACACTGAAATTCCCTTCTCGTCTGATTTAATTCTTGTAATTCACTTTCCTCTCCAGACAATGTCCCCCGCCGGGTCCGGATCGCTTGGCCTGGTCCTACTCGCCCACACCGCCCGCTGCATCATCACGACTTCCCATTTCTGCATCGACCTGGCCAACGCCAACCTCCACCTTTTTGCTCTTTGGGCCAAGTCTTGTTTTCTCGCGGCTACTCTCAACTTCCTCTCATTCACTCAGTCTATCAACATCATTGTTGCCGCTTCAAAGCACACCCTTGTTGCCAGCCAGGTAACTATCACCGTCCTCATTTGGGCGATTCCCTACCTCATTTTCCTCGAGTGCATCATCTACCTTGCCGCACTCATCATTCTACTGGAAAAATGCGAGACCGTCTATCTGCATCTTCGTTCCTCCCGCTTCGGAACCGCAATTCTCGGACACCAAAGCATACCACGTCGCGTCCGACTATCTCGGGACCTGTTGGGCCTGTCCAGCGTAGCAGCGGACCGGATCTTGAGCGTGCCGCAGCAATCACCGTCGTTTCGAGCATCAACGACACCGAAAAGCAATCCTCAGATATCTCACAGACGGAGACAGACGCTGATTCGGGAATCGGCCATTCAGCTCTTGGCCCTCATCGACAAGGCGATAATCTCAAGACTTCCCAAACAAGCAAAGGTGATGGAGCCCTCGAACGTGTCAATCCCAACCATCGAAAATCCCAAGGAGGTACCTGCCCACCTCTTCAGCGGCAAGGCATCTTTTCCGGTCGTGGAAGCTACCAACCATATCTCACTTCTCAAAGACAAGCTACTGTCAAAGATCGTCGAGTCTTGGGGGAGATTTCCCACGCCAACGCTGACAATACGCGCATTCCATCTCCAGATGAGGCCGCTCTTGCGCAGTGTGGGAGAATTCGTTCCCAAGAGAACCAGCTCATACCACCATCGGAAACAGCAGACCAAATGTGCCTGGCAAGATCTCATGGAGTTCGACGACTGTCAGCCAGCTTCACCACAGGAGGACCATTGTCCAGCAACCCGACTGTCGCCAGCTTCCCCGTCACCGCCATCACGGGTGGCGCACACCTGCCAGGGCAGTCTTATATACCCGTGTCGTCCGAAAACGAAAGAGGCGCGAGCGATACGGTTGAAAGCTCCGGCGGAAGCAGCCCTATTCTCAAAGGTTCTCAAAAGCAGTCGAGATTGCCAGAACTAAGCGGAGTAGAGAAGAAGCGACTCCCCAAGTCTCGCACTCTTACCGTTCTGTCAAACCTCACAGCCTCTCTCTCTAGAACATCTCTAGTGAGCTTCACTGGAAGCGACCGCAAGGCCTCACTTCAGACAGTGGCTTCTCGCAAGACCAGCAGCTCTTCGACTCTGACAACGACCATTCCTACAAGAACCCCCACACCCGTTACTCCTGAACTTAATCCACTCATCATCACGACAGCGCAGCCATCGGCGTATTGGTCGGGTCGTTTCATGTCTTTACAGGATCGTTTCCAAGGCGAATCCCTTCAAGAGCAGACTCTATCAATCTTTGTCACAGCCCACGCCTCCAAGGCCAGTATTCTTGCTCAACAACGTGCCACCTACCAAGGCCGTGGCAATCTTCCCCTAAGCACCACAACGGCCCTCGACCGCTACGGTACTGCCGCTATCCAAGAGGCTAAGCGACTCTCAGACGAAGATAATCGGAGCCTTCGCATCTTCCTACACCTCCAAGCACTCTGCGGTACACCCGAGGCCCAGAAAAGCTTACACGCATGGCGAGAGGCATATGCTCGAAGGATGGGACGCAGTGTCCTCCTGCCAGAAGGTACAAACTCGGACAGGGGATTCGTTGCGCGGCTCTTTAGTGGAAGCGGAGGCGGAAGGCGAAGCATTGGCGGCTCCCAGATGGAGAGAGATGCTGGCAAGGGCAAGCAGGGGAATGTCATGCGAGCAAGCATTATGTGATGGTCTGGAGTACATTGTTAGCGAAGGGTTATTGTGAATCATGACTATCGGCGTTTTCATGTTGGGTTTGTTTGGACTCGGGCAAACGGAGGCATAATACCATTGTTCGACTCGGTCAAGAAGAGTATTTGTCGGACAGGAGGAGTGTACGAAGAAAGGATCCTATGTCCTTGCATTGTTTTAGACGGCGTTCACCAGAGATGGAGGTTACCAGGGACGACAAGTTAGCTGCCAAGAACAATACCCATTTACTTTCTACACCAGCCTGAACCGTCTCCATCCCAAAAAACGCCTGCTAATGCATATAGTCGCCCTGCAATACCCCGGGCGCCTCTAGACCCGTGCCTAGGTCTATCTATGTCTCTCGGAATAGCACCATAGCGCCTTTGTCTAATCTTCAGCCTTCTTTCTCAACTTGAGGTAATCCCTAATTTGCTCGTGCTTGCCAGCAAAGAACATGCCAAGCTTATCGTTGCGCCATGTCAGTACGCCAATCTCTGCCGCGTAGCCCGCGATGTCCTCGTACTCCCTAGGACTGTCGAAGTCGCGGAATAAAAAGCCGCTCGTGGTCGTCATGCGTTCCGTCTCGAGCTGCCACAGCCGGATTTGGTCGACGACGGTGGGCGGCAGGACGGGCCGATTCCGTACCGCGGCCATGCGGTGCATCTGCTCGTGGGCGTGGGCGGCGAGGTACGAGATGATCTGGTCGGCTGTGATGCCGCGCTCGACGGCGTTGCGGATCGAGTTACGCGTGAGGCGGCCTGATACCATGTCGGAGAAACGCAGCTTGAGCTTGCAGAAGAGTGAGAGGACGGCGATTTGTAGTGGGGTCTGGCCGTAAGCGTATATGCGGTAGTTCGTCTCGACGATGATGCTGCCGCCCTTGTTCTCCTCGCTTCCGCCAGGGGTCAGGCCGTTGGAAGGCCTTGGGCCGGTGGCTGCCGCAAGGGCAGCAGAGAAGCCTGCGCCTGCACTACGGAGGGCGCTGGAGCTGCTCGTGAGCGTCGTTGCCAAGCGGGTCGGGAAGTATTGTTGGGTCTTGTGCTGGGGAATGTAGATGAGGCCAAAGTCGAGCAGACTGGGGAGCATATTGCGCCGTGGTTCGGTGAGGGCCTGGGTGTCGTAGGCCCTGCCGAGCTCGAGACTCGCGAGGAGGAAGAGGAAGCTGAGCGCGTCGGTGCTTTCCATTCCCGTGACGGCGGAGGCGTGCTCGGTGGCCTCGAGCCAGAGCAGCAGAAGGGTCCAGACCTGAGCGTTTGCCTCCTGGAGGAGGAAGGTGAAGCCGGCCTGTGTGATGCCGATGGCACCGTTGGCGCGACGTACGAGCGCGCCCGCGGCGAGCAGATCCTTAACAGACGCCTTAGGTCCGCTGACGTCGGCGCCGCCGGGGTTCACTGTGTTGACAATGTAGTGGAGGATGTCCTCCCACTTGCGACGGGCGTATCGGTCGAGGAACGGGACGGTGATTTCGGGCGGGACGGGGAGGGAGGAGGGCACGCCGAAGGAGTTGTGAGATCCGCCGCCTTCGAGGGCGAGGCGCAGCGAGTTTTTGAAGTTTGTCGTGAGCTGCATCTCTTGTGGACGTTCTTTCGAGGGGGCAGTGATTTGGAGGATGTGTAGGCTGCGAAGGGTCGAGATTGCTTGGTCTTTTTGCCTAAGAGAGAGCAAAATGATGTGTTAGACGACTACAGTACGTCACTAATGGGAGTCCGGCGCGCACCTTCTTGAGTCTGGCTTGACCCAAACATCGAGATCCTCTAGTAGCATAGGCTGCGGCATGTATAGAATAGCCATGACGATGGTTTTGGCTGGGCTTCTAGGTCAGCGACCTTGCTCTCTTTCCAACGCAACAACTCAATGCCCTCAGTTATCGATCCAAGGGGAGGTCAGGGCTTCTCACCCAGCGGCGGTATCATCCTGCGGAAGATGGCAAAGGCCGTAGAGGGCTGCAGGTACAGCTTCCTAAAGGTCGTGCCGGGCAGCTTCTCCAGGTAGTCGGCCAGCTGGAGCGATTGACCCGAGCTGACCGACATGATGGGCGATTTGCGCGCTGGTTTTTGAGGAGAGGAGAGAAAAAGTTGGGATTCGTCTATTATCTCATGTTCGTATGGGCGGCGCGAGGTTTCAGACTCGAGTACGGGGTCGTGTGGGAGTCGAGAGTGGTGGTTTGTCAAGTTCACGATGGTTTGCGACCAGGCGAACTGCACGGCGCAGCGATCATTCAATCATCAACTGGGCAGGCAGGGGTCTGCGGAGGTTTCCGCCTTAGGCAGGGCAGGGGCTCTCGTGGGTGGTGCCTGGCTGCCCTGAAGCTTGTGTTTCTTATCTTATCGAGATACCGATAAGCTTTGTTATCAGCCAGTGATAGGTACGTACTGCACTTGGCCGCACGTCATGTTCCCCGTCGCGACTCCCTTCCCGAAGCTCGCCGAGTTCACCTTGAAGCTCATTCTCACCAATTTTCGTCCCTCTGCTCGCCTCTAAAGTCTTCAGGATGCCTCCAAAGCTGCCGCCATTGCTCTTCGTGCGCTCAGTGAGTTTCTGGTTTATAGATAGGCCGCCAATTGAGTCTAATCACCCATCAGGTCTTCAACTCCTTCACCAAGGACTCTGGACTTGAGCCGAGGTAAGCTGGCTTGCACCGGTTCTAAAACGCATCAACTAATGAGTACTGACACAACGTTAGAATTCTTGGCAACAACGTATGATTGAATCTCCACAACTATGCGCGATGATTTACTCACTTTCTAGTAGTTCCGGGTGACTGGTGCATCGGTAGGCAAGGTCGACTTTGAGTTGGCAATCCAAAAGGAGCACACAGTATGTCTCATCCATGGTCGTTCGCAGCAGATATGACCAATCGCTGATGAATATTTCCCCATAGAATCGCCTCTCCACGATTCATGGCGGAACCCTTGCTAGTCTCGTTGACCTCGGTGGCTCTCTCGCCGTCGCTTCCAAGGGACGGTTCATGACTGGTGTCTCGACTGACATCAACGGTAAGCGTTCATCTTCATCTATCGGGGCGCACGACATACTTCATGGTCAGTGTTGTATCAGTCAGCTAACTGCAATAGTCACCTATCTCAACCCTGGAGGCAAACCTGGCGACATCATGACGGGTACAGCTACATGTGATAAGAGTACGTAGTAGCCCTTGCAATGCCGGTGGGCTCAAGCTGACCTCTCTTAGTGGGAAAAACACTTGCATACACAACAGTCACATTCTTCAACAACAAGGGCGAGTTGGCTGCAAGAGGAAGCCATACCAAGTAAGCCGCGTCCACAGACCGGCCCAGCACTTTGCTGACTTATTTCTAGGTTCATTGCCAAGACCTGGGGGTCAGAGGACTTTGTTGCTCCCGACGAGTATGTTGTTGAAGAAGAAAAATGAAACACATGGTAAACCCAGAGTCCACGGGCTGCATTTAAACAAGTCAAAGTAGATGGAGGTATATTGTATTAGATGTCGTGTATCCGTAAGTTAGAAGCATTGAGTATCATCACACATGTCTGGTATCCTGCTGTCCTTCACCCTTCCCTATTTCGCAATCACAACCAGGCGTATCCGTCGCGCCCCCTTAGGTCCTACCAGCAAGAACAGATCTCCGGATGGACAGTCCGCGCTTTGCTGACTACCCAAGATGTCATCACACAACTGAAGATCTTCTGTTGGCAGTGGTAATGTGGGCTCCCAAAGCCTCTTCATCTTCCAACTTCGTGGGCTGCGCCAGTTCTCCGCGCGTGTTTAGGCCGTACTTGTCCTTAGTGGCCAGTAAGTAGAGCATGACATAAACTGCGAATGCGCCCAAGATGCCGATGACTATCGAGATAACGTTGAACCAGATGTTGGTGTCGCTGTCGTAGAAGACGTATCCGTATCTCGAGTAAAGCGACATAAAGAGCGACCAAACTCCACGGAGAAGCCACACAATGCTGATTGCGAGCGCAAGGTTCGAAGCCTAACCCAGAAATGTTAGCATTCAAACTCCATTCGCAGCCGCATCGTCTAATACTGAGGGGCGGTGAAACAAAGCAAAAACTGACCTTGTGCAGAGGACCCTTGAGGGCGTTCTTGCGGACCAGGGCAACGTATGTGACGGCGCCAATGGCGCACAAGAGGTTAAAGATGCCAATCACGAGGTCGAAAATCTGAGCCACCAATCTTCTCATCATCACGCTCTGGTATTCGCCACTTTCATAGACCCAAGAAGAATAATAAGCGTTTCTGGTGGAGATCCAAAGGCACATTCCCGTGAAGCTGAGCAGTGAGATTAAGATGACTGCGCCGACAGAGAATTTCTTGCCGATTCGATAACGTTTTGAGGTCTCGTCGGTGCGGAGGAGTGTGATAGCCCGGGCGAGATAGAAGAGTGCCAAGAAAGTCAAGGCCTGGCTGACGTCGAGCATCCAAGATAGGATGCTCGTGGTGTACGAGATAAACTTGGCCAGTGAGGAGTAGTAGTCATAGGAGCTCCCGTTTGCGAAGGAGATGATGCTGACAATGACATAAATGAGTTCGGCGCTGGAGACAATTGAACATTAATGTTAGTTGCCATCAGATAGACGAGTTGGGGTGCTTACAATAGCCAAAGCCCCATGGCAGCTTTGGTGATGGCCACCCATCGGCGAATGGGGTCATGATAGCCTCTGGATGTCTTTCGGAGAAGGGAAACAAATAATACAAGGCCCGCGATAACAGCTAGTCCAAGCACTACAGTGAACACGATCCCCACGATATTTTGGACGTCCATGTAATTCATGTCTGAAGAGGTATAATCCGGCCCTCCTATGTAAGTCCTTGGTCCGTGTGTGTCCTGAGTATTTGGATCAGATATGGTGTTAGTGTTGCTTAGGTAGCAAGACCGATGAATGATACAATAAGTATTGCATGTAAGTTGGGCTTTCTCTCTTGACTTAAGTATCACGAACACGCCTGAGTGATTTCACGACCAAAGCCTGCTCTACCATCCGCTTTGGGGTCTCGAATACAATTCTCTCACCCCGGCCGGGCGAAGGAAGCCTGGCGCATGCTGTGCCGCACTAGCCCCGGGCGTCTTGCGGTTCTGCCCACCCCGCCCGACTCCCACTCTGCCACTCCTTCTGGGCGCGACACATGGCTCTGCCACAACCAGAGAGGCCTTGCATCCATTGCCAAGAAAGCCGAACGGCCGAATCACTGGTATTTGACGTACATCGAGGGCGATATGTTGCCCTTGGAAGTCACTGTTGACCACAGCCTCTCACCGTCACAAGTCAGCGTCTAGGGCGAAGCCGTAGAAAATTGACAGGCACTGACTTAGGCTGGTGACCGGTACTTGCAAGGCTTACGCCCCCCATGTTCATCCCTCATGGCTCGTTCGTGGTCATTCGCCAGCCCGAGGAAGCTGTTGACTTAGAGCCAAGCCTCTTTTCTAGCTTAATTCAAGCTTAATTCCTCTTCCCCTGGGACATTCGAGGTCGCAGCCCAAGTGCCAGTAGCAAATGACATCGCCTTGATATTCTCAAAGACGATACTGAATGGTTGACTTTCTGCAACACGTCGTAATTAACGTAGAACTAATGGTTTATCGTCAAACAGGATCCTAGCTGATTCTCACGACATGACGTCGCGCCACTTTGCGATGTGATTGAAAAAAGCGATAACTATCCCTAAACACTTATTCCAAAGACATCAATAATTCGTCTTCACAAGGTTGATACTTTGTCACAGCATTAATTTCAGTACCTTAGCTCTTTGCTGAGCTTGAGGGCATCATGATCGGGCACTGAATGCTGCAACCTGTCAAGCCATAGCGCCTTGGCAGTCTGCTCGGCCCCTGGCAAAGCCCCGTTGTCTGGTAATGATGGACATGATAGGCTTACTTTTTCCTCTGGGTAACTACGTTCCATTCAACCCATTGTCGAAAATGGGCTGCTGCAGCGAAAGTGAGAAGGTCTCGGGCGACGTGACGTGGAACGACTGATGCTGAGAAGTAGATCGTGACTTCGAATGGGTAACGTAAGTGTGCTCAACCGCTAGATGCTTTGCGGTATACGCACGAGTACAACAGCGGTCTAGAGATGATCTCTTACTTTACTTCATCTGATTTCGACATGCAGTTCTTCCAGGAAATTTTATCATTTGACACACATGCAGGCAAGTGGTTTGGCAACATGCACCCCGAGCCGTCACTCACATAATGAAGAGCAAACGCAACGACGAATGATAACAATCCATTTTGATATGTTCATAGCTCCGGAAGTAAATACAAGAAGATGTAAATGGCACGAGCATTCAGCAGCTCCACCAACTAGCACACGTTAGGCCCGGCCTCCAGGGCCGAAGCAACGGTCTCGGCAACTGCATCGTGGATGGGGTAAGTAGGATGCAGCGTGTTGAGCCAGAAGTACTCGTTGACCGGGTAGGTGCAGCTGTCAATAAGGGTATCCTGAGCAGTTGTACCGCTGTTCCAAGGTTAGCTTGTCACCTTCTGCCCGCTGAGATCTCCGATTCCAAGGTTGACTTACTCCTTGTACGCGTCACAGTAGCCAGTGGTGTTCTTGTACCCCTTGGTAGAATCGAACTTGGCAACGTTGTCAAGCACACTGTTGAACACCCCGTTGGCGTCAACAACCCACGAGTTCGCACCCTCCCACGTCGTTACATTCTTAGCCATGGCGTTGACCCTGCCGTTGAAATCAGCGACGTCATCCTTGCAAAGCTTCTGCGCGTCCGCGTTCTCAGCAAGGAGCATCGGCGTCCGGTCGACAGGCGGCGTCGTCAACCACACAAAGTTCCTCGCGCCCGCCTCGTACAGCTCCTTGGCCAGGCCCTGATAGACGTAGACGATCTTCGTGTTGAGCGCAGACGTAGCGTCGGCGCCGTTCCAGTACGAGTTGCCGATATCGTTCACGCCGATCCAAAAGGCAAACACAGAGTCCGCGCCGGTCCAGGCGGAGGCCGTCTTTGCGGCGTAGGCGTTGCTGAAGAGCGTCTGGACCTGGTCCTTGAGGGTGAGCACTGTGTCGGCGTAGGGCTTGACGAGGTCGGCGTCGACAGTAGCGCCGCCGTAGGCGAGGTTGTAGGTGTACAGGAGGGATGCGTTGTGCTTCACGGTCAGGTAGTCAACCCAGTTGGGGCCGTTGCACGAGGTCCAGCCCGGGTAGGAGGGTGTTGGTATCCCTATCACAGGGTATTGGTTCGAACCGTAGGGTCCTGGGGGTGACGAAGTATCAATATCTCTGTATTAGTTGATTCTGCGTAAGGAGTAGAAGGGAGATTCCAACCGGAGGTTGGGTGGACCGTCGAGGTGTAATTGTACCCTCTCGAGGTGGCCCCTGCTCTACCCTTACTCACGGTCGAATTGGGCTTCCAATCCGACAGAGGGGTTTCCGAGGGGGTTGGCGGGGTTGGGGGCTTCGAGGGAGGTGTTGAAGCCTGTGATCTGTTAGCTGGATGATGATGAATGCGATTTCGAAAACGAACGACTTGGTTGGAACGAATGGAAAGACAGGCGGGGATGCGGTAGATCAACCTGAATGATCGACGGGTCCCAGCAACACCTATATAAACAGGATCGCTTTCGTACCTGTCATGACGGAAAACTCGCTCCTCGAAGGGGGCTTGACATTTAATCTACTCCTTACCAAACCCATTAAGCCCCCGGAGCCCCTCTATTAATGGAAGGGAGCGAAAAAGCTTGGGACCCCCCAGGCCCCCGGGTCCTCGGATTGCTCCAGGGGCGGGGCATCGTCTCTTCTTCCAGTGAGACACCGCCGAACAATTGTTTGTCCCCGAATTGAGAATAGCAATTAACTTGTACAGTTGATCTGAGCCTCAACAGGATTGGTCGATTCAAGAACAGCCTTGTGGAAGAGCAATGAGGCCCGATAAGCTGTAACGAAAGATAGCCATAACAGGATGATCGTGATAGGGAATACATGAGAAATCGATGATAGGCGATTGGTCATTCGGGGATTCTCTTCTATCTGCAGGTTATTGAGGCTCTAGCCACAACTTCCGAGTATGATTCTTTATGCTATTCTCCTGGCCGCGAAGAGATGGACACTGCCTCGCAGTCTGGCCCTTTCTCTTCTCTGGAGATTCTCATGACTAGCACCCGGAATTGACCACTCCAGTCTTTACTGAGGCGGAGGCCATGCCAAAGAATCTTCTCCTACTACGTATTCGAGATCGTAGCTGTCCATGTTGAACCTGGGTAAGTTCCATCCCCATTCCGAGTCCTCGAACCCAGTGGTATCTGGCGCAGTCTCTCCTGATGGGGGTAATAGCTCGGGAGGGGAGCTGCCGACTGAACTGTTGGCTGCCAAACACTGTTCAATCCTTTGGACGTAATCCGGGGTCGGGGGCAGGTAGCCTAACTGGGAGGGCAAGCTCTCCTGCCTATGTCTCCACGCCCTGACGAGGACCGCTCCAGCGACGGCATATGGGTGGACCGACATTTCGAAGTAGTCTTCCTGGTAGTGATAAATGACGGGCAGCACCGTCCATGCTCGATCGACCAAGTCGCCCGTCGACTGGAGACAAAGTCGACTGATCAGGTGAAGGAATAAGTCGTACTCGAGGTATTGAAGAACAAACCACACAAAGTTCCAGCCTTCCATCACTTGAAGTTGATTCACAACGTGTTCAGCCGCCTCGAGTGAAACACGAAACAGGATGTCTCCTTTCTCCTCGGGCGGCGGCTCTACAGCCCCCTTGGGCTTGCACGCCATGATTCGAATCTTGTTGACCATGGCATTTTTCAGCTGTAAGGCCGTGACGTGCAGATTCCCCGCGCTCGGGTCGCAATAACGCTCCACGATATCCTCCAAACACTTTTCAGAACTCACAACGAACTTCTCCAGCTCGATGCTGTGAGCTCGACTGAGTTCGTCTGCTACGGCACTCTTTTTGACGACGAACATGGCGTGACTCAAGGTCGATCGCTGCGTGAGACATCGCGACAAGTTGCAAACCACCAAGCAGGCAATCATTTCGGTCGGGCCGTCGCTGTTCTCGAGGGGAGTCGCGGTATCGACATCGAAATCGGCGTCGTTGATGTTGGTCGGCATTTTGCAGCTGCATGCGCGTGATAGTGGGGTCGGGTTGAAACCGGAAGCCATGGCGAACCGAAAGTCGAGTAGGACAATGTGCCACCAGACGCGTCTTCGTAGCTCTGTTTCGAAAGGAGAAAGCCCCAGTTGCGAACCATCTCGATGTAGTCCGAGCCGTTGGGCACTTCGAATACAGACGCCGCTCATGACCCAGTTCGCGTGGGCGCTCTCTCGATCTGGAATCGCTATCTGATAGACATGACTTAGCTAGACGCTCAATCTTGTAAGGTAACGAGGATACGCGCGGCTCTCTAGGAGATCAATGGAACCTAGGGAACCAAAGCGGGTTTCCGTACCAGTTGAAGTACAAGTGCTTGCAATAATAAAAGAGTGGGCTTCTCCAAGAAGCGCGCACGATAAAGCCCCGTTCGCAAGGTCCTTGAAAAGCGGTTCAACAGCTCTATCCTGGACTGACCCAGTAACCTGGTGCACTCCTCTTGCCTCATCGAACCAACAGCACATGCATAGATCGAGAAGAACAAAACTTCCATGTCTCGCGGTAAGGATGGCGGAGTCGTCATGGCCTGGACCAGATGGCGTTGCGCAGAGGGAACGTGTATGAGTTTCGTTATCGGGTTGACTCGATCTAGGAACATCCGCCATAGCAGCATAGCATGACTCGGAGGTGGATGTAGAGGCTGAGGATTGCCGGATCTAGGCTCTCTTGCGTTCATGATGCCTGCGTCGTTTGCAATGGACGGTTGTTGAATTGTTGCTTCGGGTAGGCTTGGCAGGCTCGAAGGACTGTCGGCATTATCCACGGCTGCTCTCATGGCTTGTAACTACAAGGAGGCAGACAAATTGTCAGAAATCTGGCTGGCGAAGGAGGCTACCATCAAGGTGTCCGTCAACGGGGCTTTTACCTCATCAAACACCGTAGCCCAAATGGTGCTATCTGTAAATCTGACAGACCCATTGTCGATAACGAGCTTTCCGAGAGAGTTCTCAGGAGCTTGCATTTCTTGGTCTCGGCTCCGATCTTGAGTCTCGCTCTTCGTACTTGTATCGCTTTTCGGACTCGGCTCTGTACGAGTACTGTCGCTACTCCCCTCGCGCTTTTCTGCAGCCACGAACTGTTGAAGTAGTTCCTCGCACCGCGCCAATCTTCGCTGAAGTTCAACATTGGGCTTCTTCCTGTTCCGGGTCTTCGAGTTCTCGCGTGGCACACACTCTGCGCCTAGCTAAATCACCAATGACTTGCCATTAGATCTTCAAGTCAGTGTCTTCGAGGGGGAGTGCTTTCGAGGACAACGAACCTTGACGCAACCTCCGCATGCCGGGCTTTCACGATCGCACTTGACTTTCCGTGATTTGCAAAGAACACATGCTGGCTTGCGTGGGATCGGCGGTGCTTCAGCAGTTGCAGACTCCATGCCGGGCTCTGAATAACACAACAGCACCAGCTACTACCCAAGACTGTCAGACAAGTAGATGTGAGTAGCTTGTCGATGGCAACGGCGGCCTCCAGAGCATCGCGAAAGGAAAGGTGGGACAGAGAATGTCACCAATCTTTAAGCTCGTCCCTAGAACGGATTTTTAATGCAATGGTAAAAGAGCGTAGGGCGTCCATCCCTTTATGGCATTGTGAGCAAGGATCTACTAGTGACACAGGCCCGGGCTGAGCACCGGGCACTAAGCCACATGCACCATCGTATAGCGGTAGCGTACGCAATCAAATGAATCGTACGGGTACTGTAGTGTACCTATCAGGTAGTAATTAATTCCAACTCTAAAGGCTAAGTTACTCGGAGTTAAGATTTCGGAAAAGTCAGTTCGCTTTCGCTCTCCTACACATGCTCGAGACTTGACCCTTCAACTTAACTTACAACATACTTGGCGCAGGGTTCAAGGCGTCCTCTTCGCCTTACTTCCGGTAATTAAACATTGCTGTGGATTGGTTCTACACACGATGAGGTTTCCTGTCGCAAAAACGACGCCGTTAATTACGGGCAGCAATTAACGCCATATACCCTACGACATTTCCAAAGTAGGGAATCGATGTTTTCCATCTCGGTTGATGACGCTGACAAGTCTAAGGAAATGAGGCCGACGTCTCTTACAAGTGCATGCAATCTGTCGCAGAAAAACCTTTAACATCTATAAATAGATGGTTTGTGAAGAAACAGGGTTCAGACGATCAGCTGGTCCCGGTTGAGGAGAGCGCAGGAAATCGTTTGGAGTTCCAGTTTCCATAGGCGCGTGCGATGATGAAAAGTCGCCCAGCCCTATCGCATGATGAATGATCTAATAGATCTATTGAGGCTATGGAGAATACAATATTTATCGCAGACAAGCCATGACACCAAGCTATTATAAGTGAAAATCTACATGATTTAGGCAACATTATCAGTATTGGAATCAACAAGATCGAGCATAATGTATGCGATTCCGGGTGGTGCCCGTGCGATGCGGGCACAGAGCCTTGCTGGGCCGTGGGCTTTCGGCTCTTAATAAGGAGCGAAATGCGGGCCCCCGGGTTCTTTATTATAAGAAGCGAGACGGCCAAAGTGATGATGTGCCAGTGGACCACTTCCCAAGTTCAACCCGTTGAGATCATTTGCACAACTCAGCAAAGTTTCGATCAAAGTTTGGCAAATTGATGGTTGTTAACTCAAATGCATCTATGTCTTGGCCTTGAATCTAAAAGTGTAGTATTTCGAGTGCTTTGGGTTGAGGCCTCGCGCCTCTGCATATTACCTATCTGAGGTTGCCTGTGGATGCCAGGCCGTTACGGCGGTTACAAAGCCAAGACAGGCTCCATGATCATGATCGCGGACCCGAAAGGCTTTGAGTTCATCGTGCATGCAGATCCGTCTTGATTTGATAGCCTCGGCGGTGTATTGGCCATACAAGAAAAACTACTGGACTGGGAGGCGATAGTCATACCACAGGCAAGGTAAGCTTACTGCGCTGCGCTGTGTAAGGAACGATCGAGGCTGAGGGTAAGCCATTGATTCTGGGGAACAAATTTCCAATAGGTACCCCGTACTGAGAATGAACTGGATAAGCCATTTCATCTGGCTGAGACCACGTCCTCCTTACCTCAACGCTCCCGCTGACGCACTTGCACTGGCCTTGGAACTCGTTGCACAGGGCCACCACAGACATCACCTAAGACATGCGCTCTCTCCAATCATAACAAACCAGGAAACTTGATCTTCAAGAGTCAGCAACTAGTGTGTTGAACAATACCAAGACAGTAGCACAAGGTAGACAAGAAAGAGAGCAATGCCAAAGGTGCCTGGGGGCGGACATAGCGAGGCAGTATTATGAGAACGACCCTTGCACGTTCTGCCGCGGCAGATAGTAGAGGTCCACGAAAGGAGTACATCCGACTATCCATAAATATTGATGATTCAAGCAACGCGAAGTAGAATGGATCAACCACCACAACACCACTCCAATGATACATATTCCCCCCACGTCCGAAAAGACCAATGCCATTCTCCCTCGCGACCGTCCTGCAACGAACTTAGCAACAGTTTACTGACTACGGCCGCACTTGGGTGGGAGGGTTCAATACATAAGTCAACCTACCCACTTTTGGCCACCACATCAAAGTTGGTCTCAAAACATCACCACCAACTACACTCAATTAATTAACTACCTTCCACTGCCACTACAATACAGTCACTACCCTCACTAGGTAATTCGACCTTTGCGAGTCGACTGTGACTAACGAGACGGTCGCCAGAGTCCTCCTGAGCCCTCTTTATGTCCCTGATGTTCGCAAACTTGGTATTTGGGTTGGTTTGGACAGTCTTCTTCTTCCTTGGAGCCATGCGGTCAATTCGAGCCTGGAGAAGTCGGTTTTTGTGCTCTAATGTGGCCAATAGGTAGTCCTTCTCGCCAAAGCCCTTTTTTATCTTTCTGAACAGTAGTCGTTGAGTGTTGCTGTCTGGACTGAGCTCTCTGAATAGCTTCAAGTGCTGGCTGAGCACCCCAGCCTTCCTAGGAGTCGTCCAGTCAACAACAGACGTCGCTGATGTCCAGTCAACGAGTTCCTCTGGCTTGCCAGTCGCTGCCTGACCCTCTGCGGTATTGTTCAATGAAGTGGCAGGGCTGGGGAGCATCAGTGGGTTCAAAAGTGGTATGCCCATGTTAACTGGCCATAGACCACTTGCTTTCCAACCACTTCATATGTTTGACGCCGTCAGACCAGCAATTCGAGCCTTGTGGTAACAGTACAAGAAGTGCCACTTTCTAACGATAGTAGAATTATCCAGGATTTCGTGGTTTCCGAGCTCCTTCCTGTAGTGAGACTTGACTGGTCCAAAGACAGCCACATCCAGGGGCTGAAGGACATGAGAGGTGTGTGGAGGCAAGAAGAGCAAGTAGACGTTGTTGATATAGCACTCCCACATAAATTCAGTCGTCGTATGACTCCCATGCCCATCCAGAATCAACAGTCGAGGCTCCTTTTGCCCTCCTGGCCTCCTGGAAGGAGGTGGCTCAGTCAGGGGCAGAAACACCTTTCTCAAACACTCAAGGGCAGTCTCGTCGGTGGTCCATCCATTATCTGTCGTTGTGAACTAACCAAGTGGCGGAAGTGACTACCGTGAAGATAGCCACAGTTGACGGCTCTAAGGACGAGGGAATGAGGTTCTATGAGACGAAGACATAACTTTAGATGCCAACAGAAACAGCCTGTCGACTAGCTAAATATGGAAGCCGAATGCCTTAATAACTATGCGGTGGATTTTCTCAATCCCTTTCCAAATCATGGACTTGATTGAGCATTAGAAGACTTTGGATAAGTACACTTGCTAACATCTATGACCTAGGGGCCTATATAATTACAGATTCAAACTTGAAGACGAATGCTTTACATTCCTAGATTCTTTATCCATCAGCTCTCTAGACCATGTGATAGCCCCATAACTGACTGTCTGTATCTACCTGCATTCCCGAAAGCTCCAGGCTCCAGGCTCCAGGCTGCAATCTACCTTCGAAGTCTAAACGCACCATCATCCTCCTGATTCGAAACAGCCCCAAGAGGAAATCTTTCCTCATCTTTGAAAGTGATGGGTGAAACAGTACGCCCCGAAAACCAAACATTGAAAGCGCAGCACATAGGAACATGAGCGATGTATCGAGACAGTACAGATACACCTCTGTGGTCTGAAGCACGCCTTCCCGTCCCTCAGCGAACTCAGCCACCCGGAAGATTGACCGAAACAGAATGAGAAACGAGGTGGCATAGAGCACCATGATGAACTGTCTCCACGGTCGTCGCCCGTTCATGCTCATTGTCGTTGGGTGTTGGATGATTCGATAGTGGAATACGGATATGGATACGATGAAGGCTTCGAAGAAAAGGATCTGAATGCCGAGACCAACGAGAATAATATTCTGGCCGCGGTCGAGTCCGTCTTTGTCACTTGCGCCGGAGAGGATGCCTCCGCCTGTTGCATAATGAGTCAGTTCTTCCGCTAACATCACAGATGACGACGATGGAGACTGGACTTGCCGATGCACTGGAAGGCGAACGAGAACACATCTCCGAAAACAAAGATCTTCGTCAGCCATCTAACAGGAATAAGTGATAAATGGCCCGCTTCCAATGAGTCGATGATACGGCCTAGAAGCATATAGATCGATACGGCGTACAGTGCCGGGGCAAGCAACGGTAGAAGAGCCTGGATGATGAAGGGGACTTGTAACCAATTCGGCGTTTCGGACGCATTCATTGCTCGACTCCCGTATCCAATGCTTTCAACTATGCGACAACTTAGCAACGATTGTTTTCGACGGACTCAGTAGGTTCCAGTGACTTCTTACAGTTGACGCCTATGAAGAAGGCGATCCAGTACCAGGTCTTCGCCCTCTTGAGCTGGATGGAGTGTATCACACCGCTAATGCCGAACAGTACCGCAAAGGTGACCGCTGCCGCGAGAGACGGATCGTAAGGATACTTGGAAGGCGGTTGATCCATCGTTGCGCGTGTAATCTTCTCTGTTATATGGATGAAGCAAGTTCACTTTGTTCGCTGATTTTGGAGTTCCTTGTGCAACTACCTTACAAGATCCGTCATTCTCTTTATACCTAAATTATACCTAAAGAGCCATGTTGTGATATCGAGCCCCATGGATACGCGCTGGCTGATCTATTCACGGTGTTTCTGTTACAACGCCCTGTACCATGAACAACATCAGAGGTTGGTGTTGAGGCAGTGCTCGGGTTCCAATTTCCCAATCCGCCCCTAGTGTCCCCGGGGAAAATACAGTTCGGGGAGTTTAGACATTCAAAGTGCGGGCCTTACATAGTTGCCGAGCCGGTGTCAAAGTGAGCATACGAGATCGACAGGGGTTAAGCAGCCCTCCGCGTTCTTCCTATACACCGATGTTCTTCACGTTATGTCGGAAACGTCGCCATGGAGATCTTGACTCGATGGTGACATTGAAGTGCTCAGCCATGCTCTGGGTGACGACGCATTAGATTATCAATGGACCAACCTCTACATCTTGAAATGGCGGCGTATCACTGACTGTTTCGACAGGGCTGGAAAACGCCAGCCCCGTAGAACTAGATTTGGAGGAACGGTTTGCCAGCTGAGCATACGCGTCACCCTGCCTTCATCTTGCTTCAGCCCTCTAGCCCTCAACGATTGTTTACTGACGATCTGGCTGCCAAGTTGCCAGAGGGGCCGGAACTGAGCTTATGAGAGGCTGAAGATTTAGGGTTCAGGCCGCGGTGACTACGAGCTGTTCCTGATGGCCTTGGCAACTGAATCTCAGATATAGCCCCGATGTGTCAAGACCCTCCAGATGAACTAGTTTCATGCGAAACTTGACACCCGCTATTTGGCTGTCTGCCACAATGGCAATCTCACTCGTCACTCTGTGTAACGTGTATGATAAGCGAGCGGATCGCTCGACAGCAACCACTCCACGTATATAAATCTTAATCAACATTAACAAAGTTTAACTAATTGAAACTACCTATAATCCTCTTCTCTAGACATTTCTCTCTGAAATGGATATGTGCGCGCATTGTGTCCAGTATTCCCGCAGACGCCATATCGCCGTTAACCTGTTTCCGTCCTTGGCCGACGGCCACTACTCCGACGCATTTCCTCCTCAATCTAAGCTATAGCCTCTCTCTGTGATTGAAGGTTATCTACCTTAGCTATAGTAAAGCTCCCTCCTTGCCTAAGACGAGTTTTCTTAGATCTCTGTGTTACAACCCAACATGCATAACAAGGCCAGGGGGCCCGCCCCACAGGCCTGCGGCGGCTATCTACCTGATATACGCAGAGAATCCGGGAACTCAGGTGACTCCTCATGGAACGGAAGAACTATGGAACAAGTCACGTGACGATAAGGAAAGTGAGCACACGATAAGGTGATCACAGTGATCACCCAAAGTGAGCGCTCACCAGTATCCACTTAGTGATCACCAACGAACATGGTGACCAGGCAACAAAGGATATGTTCAGGATCAGGACTTGTATATAGGATGGACTCGAGCCGGGCTCTAGGACAGACTTCCCATAGCTTCTTCAGCAATTAACTTCGTATCAGGATTAACATCCGCTTTCAGCTACTACCTTGACAAGACTACGATTGATCACCGAAGCCTTACCTGCCCTTACGATTGACAGACATAGTTTCCTTGAAACTATTCCACGACTACGATTACTGTTACCAGTTCCGCAGCCTCAACTTCTGCAAACTACCCCTACGACTAGCTGGCCGTAACACTCTGCCGTCGGCTAAATAGATTATTCTCCTCCTAAAGGGTTTTATTCTTAGCCTCTAAAAGAGCATTACGATATATTATAACTAGTATCCCTTTGAGGATATGGTTAACTACATTACTAGCTAGTATTAGCGAGCTATTTGGATAATTTAAGATTTGATCTTTAATCAAAGTTAACTAGGAGTTTGCCTCTATTGGGTTATTTGGTGTCTAAGAAGTCCACGCTGGGGTGTTACGCCCGCCGCAACTTGTCACTGTGGGCGCGTAGCTATATATGCAGAACAAGGGACAATGATGACCGGAGTCATCATTATCGAAGCTTTTGCTTTGTGCCACAGTTGGTTGCCTTGTCCAGCTCGTAACATGGGGGTGTTGCTGGGAGAGACCCTAGGGGCGTTGGAGTATTATATAACTTCATATCTAGCTTCGAAAGCACACTTTCAGCATTTAACGGAACAAGCCTAGCCCCTCTAAAACCTCCCTGGATGTTTTTTACCATTAGGGCTTTTGTGAAAGCGTTGCGAAATGCAGGGAAGAAGTCCTCCTTTGTAATATGCGTATTACCCCGGCGCATCTTATCCTTAATTTGTCGACTATAAGCCGTCTTTAGTGGCCCAAAACACCTAACGTCTAAGGGCTGAAGTAGATGAGACGAATGGGCCGGTATGTAGAGTGTGATGATATTGTTTTCTTTGTAATATATTTTAAAGTCCGTAGAGTAATGACTTTCATGCCCATTAACGACGAGGAGGCGATATTTACTAGTTATATATGGTTTTTGTTGGATTCACAGGTGGAAAAGGAAAATACTCGAGTATCGTGGGTAGCAACGATCACCGACTGTAGTGGTGATATTGCTTGTTCTTGTTATTCTTGAGTGGAAGTCTAACCAGGTGCCAGCGGCGGCAGGAAGTCTGGGGTATACCACCCTCGTGTGGCTGAGCCACACGGACCACCGTGGCTGGAACGGACCGCGGCAGCAACCTCCTGCTGCCTAATGTAGGCCTATTCCAACAGTTTTGTATGCCGATTAAAATACTAGAGCTAGTCTAGGCCTCTTTTATTTGTTGTCTATCCGTTTTCAGACGTTATAATAACCTAGTCGCGTAGGAGACCTGTTTCTATGTACTAGGTAGAGAGGTGATATTGGCCTGCGATGATAATATACGGCGGAACGCTGTAGCCTGACGAACTGATGGCTTAAATAACTATAACCTATTCACAATTGCCAGGCTGTGTTATTTTCGTGTTTAAACGCCTTTCAGTACTCGTGATAACCATTCCGGATATTATCTAGCTTATTATAAACCTAGTCTTATTAAAGTTATAAATATCGGAGTCTACCATGCTGTACTGCGCGATTATGTTCGCTATAAGGCAAAACCATGCGTTTATCGCATCTAGATCTTCGTATTAGGCCCTTTTATAGTTATATTTATAAAAAAAGCGCGTCCGGAGCTGTGGTTGTCGCTTGACGAAGTTCGAAGCCTAGCGCTTTGTTACAACCCAACATGCATGACCAAGAACAGGGCCTGCCCCGCAGGCTCGCGGCGGTTATAATACACCACATATGCAGGAGATAAGGGACACTAGGCACCCTCTCACGGAACGGAAGAACTATGGTACAAGTCACGTGATGATAAGATAAGACATGAGCGGCCATGGTGGGGCCATGAGCGACCATGGTGGGGCCATGAGCGCTCATGCCAAGTAATGAGCGCTCATGCCGAACAATGAGCGCTCATGCCGAACGATGAGCGCTCACCCGATCAGAGGAACTGATCATTGACAAGGGATATGTTCAGGACCAGGACTTGTATATAGGATGGACTCGAGCCGGACTCTAGGACAGACTTTCCATAGCTCTTCAGCAATTAACTTCGTATCAGGATTAACATCCGCTTTCAGCTACTACCTTGACAAGACTACGATTGATCACCGAAGCCTTACCTACCCTTACGACTTACAGACATAGCTTCCCTGAAGCTATCCACGACTACGATTACTGTTACCAGTTCCGCAGCCTCAACTTCTGCAAACATACCTCACTACGACTAGCTGGCCGTAACACGCTTCTTAACTGGGGGCGCGTTGCGGTCGGCAAGTAGTCGATTAGCTATTTCTTCTACACCACTGATCCGAGGAGGGAATAATCGGGAATCTAGGTCGAGAATATACTTAACTAGCGTATCCTCTTTGAGTAATGTTAAATTCCGTGAGTTTAGTACGGTTTCAAGTCGCGAAGTTCTTTTATTGATATGGGCGTGTAAGGTTGAAAATGGCACTGAGTAGATCCGAGCTGTACCTTTAATACTTAAATTTGGTGTTTTTTCGATAGCTTGAACTCTTAGAATTATGCTAGCTTCTTTATTTGATGACTATATCATTATGGTGGATGGATAACTATGTGTTGAAAAGAAAAAGATGTGGCGGTCGCTGTTGAGCGATCCGCTCGCTTATCATGCACGTTATCCTGTCAAAGACCCCTGATAAGTATCTTATTACTCAGTGATGACTACACCCACAACATATAACGGATGCCATCCCATCCATATGTGTATTGCCAATCATGCCGTGCACGTTTGAATGATAGGAAGGAATATCCTTAGGTGTCCTATTCCACCTGCTCCATCTAAGAAGTAATCCACGGAACATTCTCACATGCAGTTTCCAACCCACACATTTAATGCTCTCCCATGTTCTCCTTTGGGCTCAGGATAAATTGCTAGCATGTTACTGCGCCTTATTTGCAAGCACGCAACGACCGCTAGTGAAATGGAATCCTGCTGGTCAAGCATCTTCTCATGATCCGTCCCGAAGGGCTAAGCCCGGGTCCCCACCCTCGCCTCGTCTCGGCCGTTATTCTCGGCGGTTATCAAGAGCCGGAGCGGCCACTAGACCCGGCGGCATGAACTCATCATAGCGGATGACTAGACGGCAATGGCAGGGCGTTGGTGATATAAAAGGAATGTTCAGATAATGCGTGAAACAGCATTCCAAAGGACTTGCCAAACCCACACTCATAGCAGTACATCTCTATAACACTCTTTGCTCGCAAAATCCCAAAGTCGTCACAATTTCTTGGCTCCTAGTTCTCTCCGCCCTCGCTAGTGGCTGTTTCTCGGAGATCTTCAAGCCCGACAACCACAGCACATACCTCAATGTTGGTGCCTCCTACCAAACATCCATCAAGACTCAGAGAAACCACAAGCTAACAGGAAGATCAAAAGACTCGCGTCCCCTCCCTCTACAACTTAATCCTCGACCAAACAAGCGGCTCCTACTGGACGTCCGCCTTCCTCACAACAACCACAGGAACCCAATACCTCGCTCTCTCCCACATTCTCGGCCCAATCTGCAAATCCTCCCTCCTGAACCTCGATACTCTCGAGTACAGCAACAACCTCAACTACGGAGCAGCCTCCCAAAATGGAACCGCATCTCCCTCCACAGCAACAGCAGGCTTCCACATCTCAGCCGGAGGTGGAAACTGCGGTCTAGGTTCCACCTCATCAGACCTCATCACAGAAATGTACACCTCCGGCTGAACCCCGGACTACAAATACAACTTCACCTGGGAAAGTACTTCCAAAGTCCCCCTCAACGGCGGCAACGCAGCCTTCACCTTTGGCCCAAACTTTGCAAATTCCACAGAGTGGTCTATCCTCGCCGGCACGACCTACGGCACCCTCACCCTCAGTAACAACGAGACCCTCACCATCGACCCAGCCCGCTCGCTAATCTGGTACGACCACCAAAAGGGCGCCGGCGCCCCCCAGAGATGGACCTGGTTCCAGTTGCACTTCCCCAACTCGTCGACGAAAGCAAGTATCTGGTCCTACGACTTCGGCGCACCCTCGCACCAGCTTTACCAATTTGCAACGGTCCGTGTGGGTGAAGAATCGCAGTACGTCCTGCCATTCGACATGGAGACGCGGGGCTGCGGCGATTGGACGTCTCCGCGGTCTAATATTACGTACTCCCAGCGCTGGGAACTCAGGTTTGAGAATGGGGATGTGCTTGATATCAAGTCGGTGAGGGAGGACCAAGAGATCTACGGGGCGCGGCAGCTGAGCGATACTGTTTACGCGGGGTATGTTAATGTTTCTGGAAGGTTTCTGGGGGAGGAGGTTGGGTTTGGGGTTGTGGAGATGATCAAGCTGTTTTGAGATTTTCGGACATCCATCAAGATGTGGTGGGCTGCTTGTTGCACATCGCACCCCGGGAGAGAATGAGAGAGAGATCGCGTACAAGAGGGAGAGTTGAGGAGATGTGATACTGGAGAGCTTGAGGATGTTTCCCTCCGTCTTGACTCTGATTCCCAATCTCAGAGCGCCGTTTCCACCGCTGCTTCACAGTCATTAATATTAATGCGTTTGACTTCTAGTCGATAGTTTTGCCAGCACAAGTAGAAATACCAAGCAAGACGTTCGTACATACATCTACAGATCAGTAGTGATGTGGTAATTCAAGAATACTAGTAGGCAAGGTGACATGGTCGATATCCCCTCGATTAAAGATATAAGTCATAAATTCGTAACCTGCGCCATCTAACCAAAAAGAGTATACCGGCAAATCGTCCAGTACCTGGAAGCGATGACCCACGTCCCAAAAGCTGGGCTAGGACATGTGAAACTATCGGGCTGCCAATCCCATCCATACATGTATGCAAATCCCTTCCAAGGATCGCAAAACCAACGAGTTCCTTTTTTTTCTATTGGGGAATAATAATGGTAAAATCGTCCTGGAAACCATGTGCCGTGCTGAAAACCAATGCAACAAAGTCCATCTCGTAGTGTACGGGGTCTGTAAATCACCTCCTGTACATTGAATCGCGTACTTAACAACAAGTCATGCGCCTGAGCAGCACAGTACCCTTACGTGAGAGTTGCCAGCATGGCGCGCATGATTCCAGGAGGAGGACCTGGGAACTCTCGCGTTAGCCTGGGCTCTGCTTTTGACGAGACGGTGACGAAGCGTACCCTAGTAGTACTTTGGTACGCTGATGGCCATCCTACCTTTCTTGTCCTTCTCGATCCGCACTCCGCGGCGCGGCTCCTCGACCTTCTCGACCTTCTCCTCGAAGAGGACGACAGCGCCATCGGGCATCTGCTCGGCACGGACGAGTTCGCGGCTCCTTCCGTGCTTGCGGTCGTGAAGCTCAGCCTCGAGAGCCTTGATCTCAGATCTGATGTTCTTGCGAGACCGAGACCGGCTACGGCGACGCTCAGCAACGGCCATGGGTCCAATGGGAACCTCCTCGCTGTACTCTCGGCGGTCGTAGACGACTGGTGTTGCGGTCGTAGACGTTGTGTAGGACGTGGAGCTGCGAGCGGGGGAGACATCGCGGATGATGGTAGTCTTGTTGACAACCTCTTGGACGGGAGCCGGGGGTGGTGGAGGGGGTGCCTCATAGTAGACGGATGGGGCATGATGAGAAGAAACAACAGTCGGGGGCGCGGGAGGCGGCGCCACTGAAGCAGGCGCTGGTGGAGGAGGAGGGACATGGATCACAGTCGGGGGCGGTGGGGGGAGGGCAGCAACCGGAGGAGGGATTGTGTAAATCTCCTCGTGGCGTTCTTCATGCTTGCCGGCCGATGATCGCGCTGCGGCAATTTCCAGTTCACCTAGCATCATGTTAGATGTAGTCGACCAACTGGAGACACATATTTTTACTTACTCTGCTTGTACTCCTCGCTGAGCTTCAGAAGTTCGTCGATGTTGTCCTGGCCAAGAGCCTTGAGGACGATGACGGTGTTCCCCTGGGGTGTCTGTTAGTCGAGGTTCAGTGCACTGGATTGAATCGGAACTTGCCTCTTCAATGTAAGGATACTCCAAGTCGATGAGCGCACGCTTGGAGACCAGGCGTTGAGGAATGCGAGTCTTGCCCTTCTTCGGGTATGAGCTACGGACGGTCGGCGCGGTCTTTGTGGTGGTGCTGGTCGACCTGCTGGAGGTGCTGCTTGATCGGGAGCTGCTTCGGTGCGAACTCTTCCTAGTTGACCTTGACACCCTAGACTCGCGGCTGCGGTCTCTGCGTCGGCGTGAGGTGACGACCTCGCGCTCCTTCACTCGCTCAGGCATACCGCGGAACTCCTCGTCGCCATAGAAGCCTGGCTCGGCGATCTGGATCTCGTCGTATCGTTGAGATGGTGCGGGGCCCAGCTGGCGGGTGCGGGGCAGAGGGATTGGAACGTATGGAGGAGCCCGGTAATCGTCGCGAGGGCGAACATCCTCTCGGCGGGCTGGCGGGGGGTATTCCTCACGCTCGTAAAAGCGGAGGGGACGACGGTCAAAGGTGTCGAGGGAAGACTGGCGACGGAGCATGGTCGGGCGACGGGGTGGCGAGGCCTCACGGACTTCGCGCTGCTCCTTTTCGAAGAAAAGGCGACGGTCTAACTCCCGGTCCAAAGGCTCTCCGCGGCGGGGGCCATAACGGTCTTCCTCGACGTAGCGGCGGTCTCTTACAATGTCCTCTTCGTATCCGCCGCGGTGTCCGCGATCAAATGGACCGCGGTCGAAGCGTTCATCTGAGTGATCTCTGCCGCGGCGAGGCGGTGGGCGATAGTCGTCACGTTCCTCGAAGCGGCTTCTCTCCTCGAATCTGCTTCGTTCATCGGGATAGCGACGGTCATCTGGATAGCCGCGGTCTCGCTCCCGTTCTTGCATGAAGCGGTCGCGGTCCCAGCGTTCAGCACGGCCGGCCATTTTGATTGATGGTCAAGGTAACGTATGTGTGGGCGAAAATGAAATAAAGTCGATCTCGGGTATCACAGAATATTGCTGAAAAAACTAGCGGTGGTCGTGAAATTAGGGATCCGGGATGTCACTGGTGATGGGTTGTTCCCGGGAAGTTGTGGAATGATCGGGTGATGGCAGGAATTCGTGGTTGTGAATCTCGAGAGAAGTCGCTCGTATTGTGAGATTCGAGAATCAGAGCGATGACGACACCTCTAGGGAGAGAGGGATAGAAGAGAGCGAAGAAAGAGGGGAAAAGCGGGAATAATGTGTGTGATCCAATGTCGCAGCAGAGAGCGAGTGAGTGAGTGGTGGAATGGCTGGCCCCCTAACGTAAAGGTATGCGAACCCAGGCCAATAGCGCCGGTAGTGTCGGTGAAGGCCGTTGACCCGCCTTGGATCCAGTGGGCTATTTTGGAATTTGGATTGGATAATGGAGTAGCGGCGCCGCCCTGCGTTGGAGTGGCGTGCGAGTGGCTTCTTCCAGGGTTTATGAGACTTGGTATGTGACACTGTAACACTGGCAGTGTATGGTGTAAGGTGCCGTAGTGAGAGGTATGCGACGGTGATGAGTGAGTGAGTGAGTGGGTGAGAGTGTGCTTGTGAAAAGCAGGCCAGGCGACAAACCCCTCCTCGTCGTTTGGCTGACTGGTGTGTGGTGATGAGCGAAGACGGGTGATGCGATGAAAAGCCGGACTGAGCTCGTCGAGTGACTGGACTCGGTGTTCTAGACTCTCTTGTGTGTGTCGTGTGTGGTGGTAGGCGTGGGTAGCATTCGGCCTATGAGAAGGCAATGTGAAGCCAGGAAGCAACCTGGAACTCTACCAGGTGACCCTCACGAAACTGGGCCTGTGACTGTAGACCCGATAATGGTCCTCCGTCTCTACTCGACACTCCCCAACAACGGTCCTGGAACTGACTGTTCTTGATGAACCACCGGAGCTGCGAAATGTGATGCAGGCTGTCGCACTGGGTCCAAGCCGTGAGTTGTGTCGTTTTAAGGGTCCTTGCGAAAAGAGAACAGACAGGCGAAAAGGTGGTGGCTGGGAAGAAACGAGGCGGTTTTGTAGTTTTAGTCTTGGACAACCACAGAGATTTGTGGTGGAGTGGAAAAGCAGGCTTCTTGGAACGACGGACGGAAGCCAGGACAGGGTTGGCTTGGCTCGTCAGATTGAACGAGGAAGATGGTGGTGTTGGCGATGCCGCTTGAGCGATGATCCCAGCTAGTCTGGCCTCCTCTGGATGGTCCAACAGTTTCTGGTAGTGAGAAGATGGCCGCTGTTAGTGATGCGACGGACGGATGGCCCGCAGCTCTCCCGCATGATGGTAGAAACACCAATAGGGATGCGAAAGTGCATCCGAAGTCGATATCCAAAGCCTGTTTCATTGTTGGACAAGCACTTGCCCGCAGCATGGCATTTCGCCTGAGGAGCGACAGTGCTTGTCGGTCCTTAACGAGAGCCATCAGCGCCGTATCGGTCATCGCATCCATCAGTCCAAACATGGCGGGAGACTACACCGTAGAGGGCTGTGGCAACAAGGCTACTCCTTGTAGAAAGCCCTTCCCGAGGCCTGCGTCGTTGCTTTTCGCTGCGATTCTGCCCATCTGACCATTCCAGACCCGGTCCAACGCGGCCTTTAGCCTCAGTGGCCCAGCCCGCTTTTGCGCCCTCTTGAACCTGACGTCGCCGCTTGGGCAGCCATCGACGGGGCGCCTGTTTGGAAAAGCGCAGGCCCGCAGCCAGGAGTAAGTCCCAGGACTCCATTCCGGACCAGATCTGCCAGGCTGCACACAGCGGGATCCCCGTACGGAGCCATGGAGCCCGCTATGGGTGTCCCATCATCCATGGACCGCGGTCCCGTCGTTGGGCTTGAACGGATCGACGGGAAATGGAGAGGATGGGGGATGCCAGACAGTCGGATGGGTGGGTGGAATCTCGAAAGAGGTTAATTGTCGTCCGGGCGGCGTAACAGTGGGATGGGCCGACGTTGGAAAACTTCCAAACTCTTCGCTGTCAAAGTGTCTCGTCTTTTCGTCTCGTCTGCGCTTTTGGCATTGCGTTCTCTCCCGCCTCGGCCCTTGCCTTGCGCTTCCCCTCCCGCAGAACACAGTTCGAAACTGGCGGGCTTTCTCTGCCGTCACTGGCTGCGCTAACATGCCTTGCTCAGCTCGTCTCTGTGGGGGGTCAAGTTGACCGCCACCCTGCTCGATGACGTCGGGTACCAAATTACTCTGCACTCTGTGTGCCCATTGCCCAACCAGCCGCCGTCGGTCTGGGCCACTACGGCAGTGATAAGGCGTTCCGGCGTGGGATAACAGAGTCGCGAATCGAAAGCCGTGGGTGGATGTGAAGAGGGGTCTTTGGAGCCCTGGAAGAATTGTAATTCTCCACTGCCGAAGCGACTTGGGTGCCCGATGGCGGCCCTATTGGCCGTTGAGGAGACGTTGCGAACCGGGGTGTCCCCATTCCGGGGGAGCAAATGGAGTTTGCGCTTGTGATTTTGGCATTGTTCTCTTTGTGCGAGGGCTGGTGCTTGTCAAATTACAGTACTACCATTGCCCTTTACTGGTTGGATACACACAGAGTATGAATAGAGATTGTTATAAATTCGCGCATGCGGCATGGGTGAGGCTGACTCGATGGCTGACGAGACTCGGACGAGGCAGCTTTGTGCTTTGTGGTTTGGAAAAGAATGCCGTGAGCCTCGTCGAGTCGCCCGTCGGGTCCAACCATTGTACGAATATGTACGTACTTTTCTGTCAGTTGAGACCTGCAAAAATTCGAGGTGCGTTATCGCAGATAAGCGTCTGCTTATGTCATGATCGATAAGATAGCGCACGTGCAAGTTGCGACTTGGTGGGTCGCATCTGCCCAATCAGACCCAGTATCCGGCACGTACTTGGGAGGAAGCTCAGGCGATGCTCTCCCTCCCAATTCTCAACCCATTAACCACGACTCGATTGCTATCGTTCCCGTCCATCGTGGCAGCTTCTGGGGACTCCCCAGATCGACCGCGAATTCTAGACCGGACTGCCCCTTAAACGGGCCATCACCTGGCTGTTGCTTTCTCAAACCAAAACTCTCCAAGAAACTTCAATCAAACCGTTCCCGCTCACACCCAGGACACCCATCCAGCACCAATCATCTCGAGTCAAGCACAGCACGTTGGACAAAGAGGCCATGCATGTGGTAGGTAGATTTTTATCCGCAGCCCTCGCACAACCGTATGGGCGACCAGATGTACGGAATTCGATGCATTTTGAGGCCTCAAGGAACACGCGAGGGGCCCTAGTAGCCGACACGTTTGGTGTGTCTCGAGGCGATCAATCTACGCCATCTCGCGTGGGACCATGCCAGTGTCACAGCCACGGCCCAGCCTGGCGGGATTCGCCGCTATCGACGTTAAGCTTAGCTTTTCCCGGGGCTTCTCCAGGTTCTGGGCTTCGGATGCGTCTCTTTCCTTCCCCGGATCAGCTTCCCCCATCAAATATCATATCAATACGGGGTCTTGATCGTAAGCAACCATTAGTCTTGGTGAAAGAGATTGTTTTGCTGGGTCAACGACCACGAGGGCAATGGATCAAGCCGAAGCTGCCATGGATAACAATCATTCGACCGGATGGCGCCAAAAATGACCATCTCTACGAAACGAGATGAGGCATCTCAGCTGCCAAGGAGAAATGCCCATGGTCTGCCTTGTAAGTTCAAACCCCGTTGACAGAAGCCGTGGACACTTCCCGTACGGCGCAGAGCACCAACCCCGCCAGGCCAAGTCGCAGAGACAAGACTTCCGAACCCCCTTTCCGATAGTCGATGAATCCAGATTCGATGAAAAGCACGCCGTCGCAAAGAGGAATTTGGCGCTCTCTTATACCACTGGTCATTCCGAGCTAGCGGAATACTCAGCAATCCGTTGACCCGTTACGGATTCAGGAATGAATGTGTACTGGCGGACTTTCCGACGAGCGGATATCCCGGATTTTAGAACGCTCTTTACTGCAAGCAGATATCAGCAAAACGCCTCAACAAGCCAAAGATCAGCTGGTCACAGCATCCGAACACCAAAAGCAAAGTTGGGGAAATGGAAGTTGGGGGTCGACCTGTCGAATGCGAGAGGGGGAGGGGACAGCAACGTGGTCTCCCAGCCTATTCACAACCACGGAGAACTAGACGACGACTAGACTCCGCCGGACCGCAATTTGAGTTCCATCACAACGACTCCAAGGTTGGCACGTCGCAATAGCGGATGAAGCCGCGCGCGTTCATGAGAAAACCAACTCAACCATTCGCGACATCTTCCAATCGGCTCTCCGGAGGACTTGCATCTGATATATGATGCGGCGCTCAAACCCTGTACATACTTGACCAGGTCCAGCTAGTTCGCATCCGCCCCACGCACGCACGCACGACCAGCAGCTGCAACTGTGCCCGGTGAGATTTCTCTCCCGTACAGATGGATGCAAGTCCGAATCTAAAGGCCGCGGCCTGTAATCTAAGCTCATACTCTGTTTGCCGACTAGGAGTGCCGATATTCACTCCCGAAACGTGTCGGGAATGAAGCGTGAACTGCATTCCTCCCCAGTTACGCTGAGTTGAGCCTAGTCGACATGGAAGGCTGGACAAGGGCTGCTTGCGACCAGAGCCGTTGTCAACGAGTCTGGGGTAGGGAGAGGCACAGGAGCTGGCGCAATGTGATGCTCTATTCGGGAAGCTGCAGTTCTGGCATCTGCTTATCGGCACAGCTGCAAGAGAGACTCGGTCAAATATTCGACTCTGCTGCTGCAACCACCTCGAAGAAGGCAGCTGATGCAGCGCGTAAACATACATCCATCTCATCACATCGCCAATCTTGCACCATTGTTGCTTGTTCGCCATCCCTGAGACTGGCATCGTTGTAACCGTCGTAGCAGATCAAATTATCATCTCAACACGTCATCAGAGTGAGCGTCTTCCTCACTGGCTGGCATGTCCCCCGATGTGGGAGTGGAATGGATCCGATAACATGGGCCGCAGTCCTGCAAGTGGTGCTTGGTGCTGGCTTGGTGCCGTTTCCCGAGCTCGCACCCGATGCAGATTGGATGTGAAAAGAGGCGTCCGCTCTTGTGGATGTCTACCCCGCGTTGTTTGGTGTGTGGGATAACCCGTCTGGGGTAGCTAGGTGCCACGCCTCCACCTCCAATCTGGGACAAGGGGGAAAGACAAGGGTCGCTAATGAGATATCTATCTTGCCAGCCTGGGCCAGCCTACGGGATTTCCAGCTGGCCCCCTTGAGACAGTGTCTTGTTGAGTCAGTCGTCTCGAGATTGAAAAGGGTCTTCATCCCCTGCCAGACTCGAGAGTGTTTTTGTCCCAGGATACCTCTTTGACATCCCGCCAAAGTCGACACTTTGCTCACAAAAGCATTCGGGGCTGAGCGATGCACCGCATTCCCTTCATCATGAGTAACGATAAGCCTACCGTCGAGAACATCGACGATATCAACGCCAAGATGGCGCAGAGATCCTCGTACGACGCGAAGCTTGACCCGGAAAAGTAAGACACATACAGCGCACTCATCCAGGAACCTGGTTAACCCTTTATCGCCAGGCATACCGAACAGGCTATGGCTTACGACCCGACCGTAGAGAGGAAGCTTAGGCTGAAGATCGATCTCATGATTGTGCCAACGGTCGCCCTGCTATACCTCTTCTGCTTCATTGACAGCCAACATTGGTATGTCTCTTGGTCCATTACAAGGTCGACAACGACTTACAAGCCCCCAGGAAATGCTCGCATTGCAGGCCTCGAGAAAGACCTCGGAATGGCAGGCTACGATTACAATGGAACCCTCAGCGTCTTCTACGTCAGCTACATTCTGTTCGAAATTCCCGCCAACATCCTCTGCAAGGTCATGGGTCCTGGATGGTTCCTCCCCCTTACCACCTTGCTCTTCGGTATCTGCTCAGTCGGCACCACTTTCGTTCACACCGTACCGCAACTCATGGCAGTCCGGTTCCTGCTCGGTATTTTTGAAGCTGGAATGTTGCCAGGTATCGCCTACTACCTGTCTCGTTGGTACCGACGATCCGAACTTGCCTTCCGCCTCAGCTTGTACATCGTTATGGCGCCGTTGGCTGGAGCCTTTGGTGGTCTCTTGGCCTCTGCCATTCTCCGTGTCGATAGTTTCGGAAGCGTCCATACATGGCGCATGATCTTTGCCATTGAAGGAATCATCACAATCGGGCTGGCACTCATCGGCTTCATCACCCTGACCGACCGCCCCGCCTCTGCTCGCTGGCTTACCGAGGCTGAAAAGGATCTCGCCGAGATCCGTGTCCGCTCTGAGCGTGTTAGTCAGACTCAGGTCCTTGACAAAATGGACACCAAGAAGCTTCGTCGGGGAATCTTCGCACCTGTTACGCTGGCAACATCGTTCGTCTTCCTTTTGAACAACGTCACTGTCCAAGGTCTTGCATTCTTCCTTCCAACGATCGTCAGGGGAATCTACCCTACGGCGACTGTTCAGCGCCAACAACTCTTCACCGTTCCTCCCTACGTTGTAGGCGCCTTCTTCACCGTACTCTTGCCACTGCTCAGCTGGCGCCTCGACCGCCGACAGATCTTCTTCATGATGTCTGCTCCGCTAGCAATGGTCGGCTATATCATGTTCCTGGCTTCCAAGGACCTCTCGGTGCGCTACGGCGCTACCTTCCTCATCACCTCGGCCGTGTTCGCCCTCGGCGCTCTCACAAACGCCCAGGTCGCCGCCAACGTCGTTTCCGACACGGCACGAAGTGCAGCAATCGGAACCAATGTCATGTTTGGCAACGTGGGAGGTCTCATTTCAACTGTAAGACTGCTCCTCTCCCTGGTAACCTTTGACTGCATGCTAACTCCTGGTTTTAGTGGGCTTTCTTGCCATGGGATGCACCCAACTACCCAATCGGCAACGGATTGAACCTGGCGACCTGCAGTATGATCTTGATTACTTCAACTCTCACGTTTTTCTGGATGAAGCGAGACAACCGCAAGCGTGCGGCCCGAAACGTCGAAGCCGAATTGCAGGGCTTGTCGAGACAAGAAGAGAGTGATTTGGACTGGAAGCACCCTGCTTTCAGGTGGAAGCCCTAGATGGCTTCGAGATGCCTGAATATTTGCTCAAGATACCTTGTTTATTCATATACCACGCACACGGAGCTTCCAAGCTCCGTTCAATCAATGTTGCAATCAAACCTATCGCACTACTTTCAAACTGTGACGGGGCTGTTCCTCCTGGCTGCAAGGGGCGCTGTCTGAAAGAAGGCGCCTTGGAGGAATACCTCAAAGCAATCATCAACCCCAGATGAAGAAGGCAAGCACTCACCTCACGGGAATGTCCAAACGTGTCCAAACTTAAGGATGCTCCTACCTCGATTTGGACAGCGGGCAGGAGTGTTGATTCGGGTCCTTCTCTTGACACAGTTCCCCAGTCAACGCTTCCCGTGTCGTGGGAAGGTCTTCTCTTCCTCTGCCCATCTGTCTCTTCGTCTGTGACACCCATCATTTCTTCTATTCGCATCAAACAAATCGCAGTTTGTTAATCGCATCTTTGTCTTCCCGCATTCCATCATCACAGCATACAATCGACCACTATGGCTACCAACCACGGATCCGACGAGCAAAGACGTATGCTAGCTTCCCTACCCACTGTGTCTACAAAAGCTAATCGAAGCCTGCAGGAGGAGATCAGCTGCGACGGCTCGCTGAGATCCAACAGCTCGAAAATCAACACGGTCGGAACGAGAGAGCCGAGGCCATAGCTACCATTCTGCTATCGGAGTCGGGTCTGCATCCTATTGAACAAGTCAAGCTCCATCATATGCTCGCTGGATCTCCCAGAGATTACCTCTATCACGCGAGACAATGCCTTCTTAAGGTCGATGAAATCATTCGCATTTGCAACGAAGACGGTGTCAGGTTCACGAACTTGCCCCAAGACACCAATGTGTTCTAGAGGATGCGTGAGAATGTGCAAAATCGCCTGCAAAAGGCCATCAGTGACCAGCGGAACGTCGACTATGCGGTCAAGTGGTTAATGTTGGTCTCTCTGTCCTTTTCTCAACCCAACACCCTTCTTCATTTCTTTCGCATAGGACATGGCTAACGTGGTCGGGAAATTAGGCTGGATTTAAAATTCGTGGCACATCTGGTTCGCGATCCTGTCGAGACGAAGCTGTACTTCGAGCGAGTGCGTCTTGCTCTAGCAGCCGCTGGCAAGACTCTGCATGACGAACCTCCGAATGTCCTCGCTACAGCTCAGCAGATTGGCCACAATAATGTGCCCTCGATGCCCGACCAGGCTTTAGCTGGAACGGCCAGCACCGACTTCCAGTCGCAAGGCAGCTCTATAGGTCCGCCGCCCTCATCTGATCGGGCTGGCAGGGATGACACGGTCTCAGTGGCTCCTTCCCTCGTTGATTCGCAGGCTACGGTCTCAGTGGCTTCTTCCCCCGTTGCTTCGCAGGCCACAACTTGGAGTCCGAGTGCTCCCCCGGTCCCGGAAGGCCAGAAGACCGGTCAAGATGTTCCAGCATCTAGCGAGGGGATGTTCGAGAGGGCTAGTGCCAACCTTCAGCTCCAAGGCTCGCCGTCTGATGAGTTTTTGCAGTTCTATCAAGAGGTCCTGGAAGAGTATCCAGAATTACTTTAGAGGTGCCGCAGGTTCTTCAAGTCAAATAGATTATTATGCAGTACGCAATCAAAGCAGCTTTGCGCTGTCAAATACAAATTGTTATTGAACACTATGTTTCTGTTTAAACGGTCCATGAATCATTGGTGTCTCACAAACTACTACTATAGATGGCGTCAGTACCGGATTTGTTCACAAGTCAATACAAGGGAAGTAGGATCGGATGAACATATACTTTATCATTACCCTTCATAAAATTACGTACATATATATTGACGCCGTCTAGCAGTTAATGGAATACACTTCCCCCTCCCTTCATCCTCAAGTAACCTCACAATTTACTCTTGCTAGGCGCACAGCACGACTCGCCAGCACCCCCGGTAAAAGCAAGCTTGCTCACGCCATCCGCCGCCTCCAGCGCGCCCTTGCCGGCAGCAACCTGGCTCGGGGTGCTGCAGTAGCTGGGCGGGACGTCCATGACGGGGTTGTTGGCGAAGAAGTTGCGCGGCCGCAGAAGCAAGGTGATGGGCTCCACGGGCATGATGGGGAAGTCCTCGGGCGCGGGGATATGGGTGACGCCAAAGGTGTGCCAGAGGACAATATCTTCCTGCTCGATGGACTCTGTGCCGTCGCCGATCCATTCTGGGATGCCGGAGGAGGGCTCGCCTGAGGTTTGGGGGACGTGGCGGCCTGCGGGCCAGAGTTCGTCATCGCGGTCTGTTGGGGGTTTGGTTAGTTATCTATTCACCGAGGGGGGAGGGGGGAAGAGGAGAAAAGAAGAGGGAAGGGGACTTACACTTTGTGACGTGCACAGCGTGCCTCGCGAAACCAGCGCGCTTCCAGACCAACGAACCCTCCTTGGGCAACAACCCTGGAACCTCCCTACTGACGAGCTTGTAACTCGCCGGCTTCCCGCTATACGGATGAATCTTATCCGTATTCGCAATCTCCCACGTGCGGCTGGTAGACCCGTCATAATCGGTCCTCGACTTGCCCGTGGTATCGAGCTTAGTCTTCTTCGTGTAAAAGGCGTTTCCGTAAAAGTTCTCAGGGGACCCGACAGGGGCGTCGGAGGCGACGGCGTCGACGACGAATACTGTGTTGCGGGGGCCGTCAATGTTTGCGTCGACGCGCAGGCAGAAGAGGTGTTGGTGGTTGTGGGCGTTGACGCCGGGGTAGACTTGGGTGCCCCAGCCTTTTGTGTCTTCGCCTGGGTTAAGGGAGTAGGTGTTAAGGATGCCGGTGAGTTTGATTTCGGGTTGGATTGTGCCGTCTTGCTGGTGGGGTGTTAGTTTGCGTTTCTGGGACGGAGAGTAATGAATGTCAAAGGGGGAGGGGGCCTACGTGGAAGATCCATTGGATTGCGTATTCGTAGTTTGCGGCGGTGAAGATTTGCTGGATAATGAGCTTGCGGCCGCGGGTGACAATGACAGAGTCGTCGCGGAAGTCGGTGTGCTTGAACAGGATCCCGCTGTCCTCCTCGTGAATGCAGATTGCGTTCTTGATGGTCCGCACGCCGCCGTTGCGGGTGGGGAACTCGGCGTCGAGGTAGTGGATCTCGCCCTTGCAGTCGCAGCCGAGCGAGAGGCTGTTTGTCATGTATCCGGCGCCGTACTCGCCCAGATCAAAGGCGTGCTTGCGCTGGTGAGGGTGCTCCGGGTTGCCGTAGGGCACGACCATCTCGGCCAAGGACAAGCGGTAAAAGATGGGGCGGACGTTGCCTTTGTCGTTGTAGGTGATGTTGCTGAGGACGATGCCCTCGCGGTAGTTGAAGCCGATGTGGAAGTTCCAGTTCTGCCAGGAAATCTGGCGGCCTTGCATCTGGAAGGAGACGCCCTGGGGTTGGGTGATGTTGATGGGCTTGAGGCCGGTGCGGTAGCCGCTGGATTGCTTCTGTACGGCGGCGGGGGTGTAGTCTACGGGGGCGGCCTTGCTGAGCGGGCGGCGGACGGTGGGGATGTCGATGGCGATGATGGACTGCTTGTCGGCGTCGTAGATGGGGCAGAAGTCGAGGGGGTACTGGTACTGGCAGGTGTCCGGGTCCGGGCGGTAGTACATGAGGGCTTGCTGGAGGCGGATTGTGTTGCCGTGGCGCTCGTCGTAGCCGATTGTCCAGGGGTCGCAGTAGACTTTGTGCATGTCTGATTTGGGGATGCCGGAGATTTCGCACTGCTCGATGACTTTTGGGTCGGTGCGGCAGATGTGTTCGACGATTTGCAGCTCTTCCATTGTGATCTGGCGGTGTTAGTCTCGGTAGGTCCTGAGAAAGGCAGAGCGGAGGGGACTGACGATGGGCTGCACGCCTTGCATGAGCTCCCACTTGGTGATGGCGCCCGAGGCGAGGTCAACGAGGCCGTCGTAGACCTTGCCGCCCTTTGCGATGACGACGACGTCGGCGATGCGGGCGGGGAGGGGTGTTGTCGAGGGCGAGGCGAGCCATGTTGTCAATTCGGCCTTGCGGGGTTCGTGGAGGGAGACGACGTTGAAGAAGACTTCGCCGTGGGTCTTTGTGACGGCGGCGATGGCCTTTTCAATCTCTGCGGAAGAGAGGGGATCTAGAGGGTGCGGCGGTGCCATGGTGAATGTCTCTGTGGTGTGAGGGTTCTCTGCGTGTGGTATCAGGTCTCCTTGTCACATAGAGGTGTTGCGAGAGGTCAATGGCGGTAGTGGAGGGTATCGAAATAAATACAATTGAGGGATGTCGAGCTCTAGATAAAGCTACAGCTTATATCTCCAAATGGATCAAGGGGATCCCCAGAGTGAGGCCCCTCACCCCTCTTCTTCCGACTAGGAGCGCGCAGATAGGCGCGCTCTCTCGTTCTCATCCGATGCGCGACTCATCCCTCCAAGGCCAGCCGGATCAGGCAATGCAAGCCCATTGAGACCTGGGGGTTTCTCGGGGGGCCGTTCAGACGACGAACGAGGTGCACCGTACCTTGCACAACCGATGCGGCGCGTCATGCCAATTGGCAAAAGGCGCTGTAAGCCGTTTCGATTCGATAAGTCAAGCCATTGGACAAGGTGGAGAACTTCTCTCGGAACTGGTTTGATAAGAGCTTTAGCCTCTTAGTATCCCGGAATTGAGGTACAGAATGCAAGGTGTAAGTTGTAAGGCGTGGTCAACGTTTCGTCTCGTTGACCCGATAAGGACGCTCGCACACAGAGTGTGCATTAGCTGCGAAATTTCGACGGTTCGTCCTCAGGGTCTCGAAAGACTTCAAGGAACTCCAGGTTAGCTCAAGCGCGGAGGGCATGGAGGAAGCGTCGGGTTGGTCTTGGGAGCTTACCAACTTGCAATTGTGATGCAGAAGAGACATGGAGGGGAGAGACACACACGAGAAAGTGGGGGGGAAGGATGAGACGAGGGGCTGGATGGGGAAACCCTAGACGATAAGCTCTGGCCCTCCAACCTCCGGGTGTCCTTATCAGAGGTGGACCCTCCAAGACCCACTCTCCGGGGCCGGAGGTGTCGGTTTGGACGGCTGTTTAGGTGGGGCCCTCCTCGGAACCCAAGGCGCTGCCAGGTTTGGGCGAGCGGTGACTGTTCTGGCCACTCAGCGAACGCCGGGTAAAATCGCCTAATCGGGTCTAGCTGTGCATTCTGACCACTCAGGATGAGGCTGTGAGTTGTCGTCGATGAATGCTTTACCTAAGGCAACCTCTGTAACTCACCCATCTCACCGTCACCGATAGGACTAAACCGTTTCCTGCCCAAAAGTGCGATGCTGCGAAGGTGCGAAAGTGCGAGTCACTATTAGACTTTGTAGTCTTGGATTAGATCCGATCCCTACGGCATGACCTCTAGCTCTTTTGAAGCCTTTGGTGATGGGGTTACGTACAAACCATGCAGCATCGGTGTTATCTCGCACATGTGAGTTGAACCGTGGTCTGTGCCCTGCGGCGGGATGCTATGTGCCGTGCAGCCACGCGATGGACGCAACAATTCAGGCACACTGCAGCGCGGTATTGAACCCTGTATCAATGTCAGTGGGCATTACTCGGTACCTTAGGATTCGTGACGGACGTGACCAGTTGTAACGAAGCCGAGAATGCAGACGACGATGGAGACAGGTGTCGTCACAATGTCCGAAATATCGGAGTTAAAGAGTGCTAGTGATGACGTCAGCAAAATTTCTGCCACCGCTGCACCAAATGCTTCACTGCGACTTCGACGATTGATTTCGTCCGCGTTGAATTGGCTATCTTTAGCCACGTTGTCAGGCATATCATTTGGTGGAAGTTGGACCCCTGCCCACTCACCAGCCTCAGTACGTCCGCACTCGCTTGGTCAACTTCCTAGTCGACGTTGAGGCTCTGGTCATCCAACTGAGCCACCAGACACCACGGAGTCATCGTCAAATTCAAGAGTCATCGGCCTCGGTGGATCTCTCGAGCAACACAGTGTGTTGACGAAGCGCACAAGTCATTGCAAAGGCTCTTTTCAGGATACTCACCTTGTTTCTATTCGCATGATCAACAGTTTGCTGCACAAATTACCAGCAGGATATTTTAGTCTTCGGAACCTCAAAAGCATTCTACCGTCAAGCAACTCGGCACATACCCCGGATCTTCCCCGGGCCCAGATTTCCCCGGCCCCGGTCAAGACGCCGCCTTCCTCAACTCCCCCAGCCCACCCAGCCAAGACATCACTCGCACCAGACATTACAATGGCTACCTTCGCAACCCCTCTACTGCAATCAAGCCGGTCCGAGATTCTCGAATGGCGCTTCCCCAAACCCTACCACCAATACGTTCTGACCGGCAAGTCTAGAGCAGCATGGCACACCTCTTTCGTCATCCCCCAACTCAACCTTCTCCTCGACGCAGGCCTCGTCGTAAACAACCTACGGCCGAAGCACATATTCATTACCCATGGCCACTCAGACCATTGCCTCCTCGCCCCGGCCTTCACCAAACGCGAAGACCCGCCAGACATCGTTTGTCCCGTCGAGATGAAGAAGGCCTTTGACGACTTTTGCCTCGCAAAGACCCTCCTCAACCGCGGCGGTTTAACAACCAGCAGCGACGCCGAAGCTGTGGGTCTCAAGGTCGACGGCAAGGGCACCGACGAGGATGGCAGGACGGAAGGGGAGAGGGCCTTCCTCGGCACGCACGTTACAACGGCCGTCAAACACGGCGACGTGGTGCCGCTGCGACGGCTAAAGGGCATGGATGCCCTCGTATTCCAGTGCGACCACAACGTCCCCGCCGTGGGCTACGTCTTCCGGACCACGACGCACAAGCTCAAGGCCGAGTTTACCTCCCTCCCCGGCCCGGAGCTCAAGCGCCTGCGGCAATCGGGCGTGGGGCTGACGGCGCCGGTGACGACGCCTGTATTTGCGTTCCTTGGCGATACGACGGCGTCGACGCTGGCTGCTGAGCCGGAGTGGTTGGCGCAGGGGATACCGGTGGTGATTACCGAGTGCAGTTTCTTGTATGATGAGCATGATGCGCAGGCGGAGAAGACGAAGCATACCAAGTGGAAGGATTTGGACAAGGTCGTGCGCAAGTGGCCCAAGACGACATTCATCCTAACGCATTTCAGTATGCGGTACAGTAATAAGGATGTCGTTGCGTTCTTCAACGGGTTAGAGGATCCGCCGAAGAACATTGTGGTTTGGGCCGATGGGCAGCCGGAGTAAAGGGGTTAAATAGATGGGGACAGCATTGATAGAGGTCAGTCATCTAGATCAAGCAAGAGTTGATTATATTTTAGATGGGTAGACGCAAAAGATCTTAGAGCACTCACAGACCAGCGGTTCTTTCATGTCATGAGACTCTGTCAGATTCCCACAGGCAACGCTAATATGACTAGACACAATCACTCAACCTTCACGGAGCGCTTTTTCAGCTAGTCCCGATATCTCATCCATCTCAGTCAACTGAACCGGGCTACACAATCCCACAATCACTGCACCTTCATCCCAGCAAACACATCACTCGTCATAGCCGTCCACAAATCCATTAGATAATTCTTCCTCGGCGCCCACCGCCCCGACCCAGCCTTGGGGAACACCTTTGCCGCATTCCGCACATACGTAGACTGGAGCGGTATCATAGGAAGCGGCTTCATATCCGGATCCTCAAGCGAAGGCGTGACCGACCGGAGCTTCTTCTTCTCCATCCCGCGCCACAACCTCACCAAATACGAGCTCGTCGCCTCCGCGCCGAGCGTCCACGAGGCGTTTGCATACCCAAAGACGTAAGCCAAGTTGGGCAAGTCCTGGAGCATACAGCCCTTGAAGGCGAATTGCTTGTTGGGGTCGACGCGGCGGCCGTCTACGGAGATAGCGATGGAGCCTGCGAAGCGGATTCTGAGGCCGGTGGCTGTGACGATGATGTCTGGGCGGAGAACTCGTCCCGACGTCAATACGATGCCGGAGCTCGTCACCTCTTCAATGGTATCCGTCACGATATCTGCCTTGCCAGACCGCAGGGCCTGGTAGAAATCCGCGTTCGGACACAAGCAGAGGCGCTGTTCCCAGGGTTTGTACCGCGGCTTGAAATGCGGATCGAGCGGGATATTTGGCGGCAACTGCTTCTGCGCCGCACCGAGCAGGAACCGTTTCGCGGAGGCGGGGAACCACCGGCAGTAGTAATACAAGTAACACGACAACATGAAATACTGAACTCTAAGAATCCGACTCGAGACGGCTTTCGGGAGGATGGAGAGCATGAAGCTCTGAAGACCGCCTTTACGGGATGGCATACCGATGATGTAAGTCGGACTACGCTGCAACATCGTCACGCGCGCGGCGTCGGTGGCGATGTTGGGAAGCAGCGTCACGGCCGTGGCGCCGCTGCCGATGATGACGACGTTCTTGTTGCTGTAATCTAGGTCCTTGGGCCAGAACTGCGGGTGGATGACTTGGCCTTCGAAGGTGTCGATGCCTGGGATCACGGCTGCGAGGGGGCGTTCGTAGTCGTAGTATCCCGTGCCGAGGACCACGAACCGCGCGCCAATCGTCTTGGTGTTTTGCTTCTCCCCTTCACCTGGAGCCGTCGCCTTGAGGATCCATCTGCACGTCGCCGAGTTCCAGTCCGCGGAGGCGACTTGGTGGTTGTATTTTATGTGCCTGTCGATGCCGTGCGCCTGCGCCGATTCTTCGAGGTAGGCGCGGATTTCGGGGCCGCCTGCAAGGGGGTCCTGGCCCTTCCATGGGTTCCAGGAGAAACCAAAGGTGTAGATGTCTGAATCGGAGCGGATGCCAGGGTATTGGAAGAGGTCCCATGTTCCGCCCATTCGGGGCCGGCCTTCGAGTATGGCGTAGCTTGCATTTTTGGGGCCGTGAGCTTGGAGGTAGTATGCCGTGTTGATGCCCGAGATGCCGGAGCCGATGATGACATAGTCGTAGATCTCGTCTACTTTTAAGTCCGAGGGTTGAGTTGACGCCATTTTCACGATGTTGTCAGTAGGTACGGTACGTATACGGTTGTGATGAACAAGAGGCGTTCTTCTGCGTAGTTGCACATGGGGCTCATCCGCTTTTTGTATGATTCATGGTAAGGAGTGTTTACTACACGAAAAGCATAATCACCTCGCAACATCCAAACCAACCAATGTCCGACCGTGGCGAGGACCCTACGCTCAGATTTCCCAATCCAGGGTCGCAGAAACGCAGAGTTGCCGAGGCCTGCGAGATGGGATGAAACCTAGAAACCCGCATCCAATGTGTTTCTCTACTTGTTTTACCAAGCAACTCGTCACACCAACGGGGGAAAAAAGGGAAGGCAGAGCTCGGGGTATCGGTGTGTTCGTTCGGCTCCGTTCCCTGTGGAGAACCCGGGGTTGCTGCATACTCTTTCAAAAGACTATGATTCATACATGTAGTTGGTGGTGAGGGGTATGGGCCAAGAGGAGCACCGCATAGTCCCGCCTTACACAACTGAATTGTCAAATTTGTGGGTTTAGTTGCCATTTTTACGCTATGCGTGACTTCAGCTTTCTTTCCTACGGGCGTCCGCGGATGCGGAGAAAATGTCATAATGTATCGAGGAGAACCTCCACGCATTGACCTAGGTAGCTCTTAAGTCGCCTCGGCTGTTGATCTTCCATTAGACGCGGTCATGAGATCGGATGAAGAGATTGGGGACGAGACGGACCCGGAGAACGACACCCCCGATGGAGCAAGGTGGACGCAGCTTTCCGAATGCGAGTTGCGGTTTTCGTGCATGTGTGGGGCCTCCGTTGGACTTATAATCTCCCCGATCGGCTCCAGGCCGTAGTAATTAACCCCTGAGTCGATCACATTCCTCCCGCCCCCGCCTCCGCCCCCGCCTCCGCCCCCGCGTCTTCGCTTGACATCTGGCACTCGTATAGAGTTCAGGCGTGTTGGAGTGCAGCCGATCCCATGGGGAAAGCTCACTCCTAGTGAGAAGTAAAGGAACGTTAACATCGGTATGCACTTGGACGTGGTCTAGTTTCTTCCTAGCTTGTACCCGCTCGCCCGCGTCCAAACGGCATTTGACAGCCTTCTGACAGGCTTCCCAGTTTATGGTTGTTCTCAAGACGAAGATTGAATTATGCCATGAGTGAGGCAAACTCTCAATCCTTTAGCAAGCCATCTCCCTGAGTTGAGTCGGACTTTCGGACTGAAGGGGTCATGATAGAGGGTGCCCATAACATCGCCACCGAGTTGGCGATTAATCATCCTCTTTTTTGCGAAGGATTGCGTTCTAGGGGCAGTAATTGACAGAGACGTTATGACAAGAAGCGAGGTGTTTGTCATAATTACGGCCTGGTCTTCGGTCTCCGTTGCGGACCTGATTCATAAAGATACTTCCGTAGCGGACTCTTTGACCTGAATGTAAGAGCTAGGAGAGTAACTTATTCTACAACCATAGTAGGAAAGCAAATAGGGACGGATCTTCGGGAGATCTTCGACAGACCGTTGCGTCCTCAATGTCCGCAGTCCGCAGCCCGAGGCCCACAGGAGCGCACCCGCTCCGATCCCGCCTGTCTCGCCGGCCTATGAGTGGTCAGGGATGTATGACTAAGTTTTGCTCAATAAGATGAGCGTGCATACTTAAATTAAAGGCTGGTATTTCTACCTAATTTGCGGCAAAACTCTTCAGCCTTGCATTCTAAATCAAAGTCAACACTGGATAAGGCCAGAAATACGTATACGAGGGATTCATATCTGGTTTTTGCCCGTCATCATGGCTAGCCGTATCGTTTCTGAATGAGTTGTTTTAACGGATTATATTTTCAGTCTTCAGAACGAAAAGCTCTATTTGATAAAGATAATGGACGACTCTTGCCGTGCATTCTGAAGCGAAGTTGTAAGAACTAAGAAACAGTTTAAGTGTCTAGTAGTAAGGTAAGCAGGGCACCACTTTGAGCTGACAGTGACGAAACCCTCCGACTGAGAGTATACCAAAAGTAAGATCATTGTAAATTATTGTTGTCTGAATGCAACAGACAAGGCCTACAGAGATAGTCGTGAAAGATAGTCAAGAAGACAACCTCCAACCCTAATTCGCCGCCTTTGCCTAACCGTGCCTTTCAGCACTAATTACAAGCCTTGCCTGTGAATAGATTGGTCCCGTGTCGTATTGGTTGTGTTGAATCTGTGCCAAAGCGAGTCTTGATTGTCGACCCAGTACTGTTTCAATCTCTTAATTGAATAATTAGCATGTTTAACAGAATCACCACACGTGAAAGAAGTGTAGTACGAACCTCGAATCCCATTGGAAATCCGCTGATAGGCACCGTCCGATTACTACCGAAGTTGACGTTGATGTCGATGGGGATCTGATCCACCTGCTTGTGGAAAGCAAGCGGTAATCTGAAGGGCTTGCCCGAAATGACCTTGGGTACCTGCAATTCTGTACCTTCGACCTCAAAATAATGAACAGTACCCAGAAGAAGTCGCAATGCTTTCTCGTGTGGCCACAATTGGCAACCGATCCAACCCGTAAGAGAGTAAATTTCGTGTGATTGGGAATCTTTCACCCAGTCCAGCTGGAAGAAGAACATGCTAGCTCGGATCTTATCAGCCAAAACCAGAAGCAAATCATCTTTGTATGATTCGCAAACTGGTATCATGGGGAACAAGGGAGTTTTGTTCTGAGTGATATGTCTTTCACGTGAAATTTGACTTCTTCCGCTGTTCGCTCCATGTGGTTGACGTCACCCACAGCATCTAGGGCTGGCTCCTTATTCTTGAAAGTCACGTTGAGACAGCATGAGATCTGCGTAATACTGGGCCTGTTTCCCAAAATGTACTCTTTACATGCAGCCTCGCCATTGAGAGTGCTGAAAAACGTAATAATGAGTGGCTTCCACCACTGTTTTGGTCGATTGGCGACTTCGTTGGTCAACGGGCGATCTGGTGGATCTTTGGTGTCTCCCGATCCCACAGATAGAATCAGCTCGAAGTCAACCCCTGTGCCCCATAGCACTGTGCACTGGTTAATAGCCACCTGAACGGGGTTATTACGCCTCAGCCCGCCATCATAGCATGCTCCAGAACGATGTAGCATCGGTTTGAAGTACATTGTGGCGGCAGATGTGCATCTAGCACTATCGAATGAGATGTCAGCTGATGGCTCCAATAAGTTTCGAAAGTATCAATGACCTACGCTTCCCATAGTTGCAGGTCCGATTCTAGATAATCATCAGAGCCACCCATGGTGTAGTTTTGGGTTGCTGTCCACAGTTGTCGTCACTGCAACCCTGGTCGAGTTGGAGCGCCCGAACAGTGCGGTTGGCTGTGGCCCAAAGGCTTGTTCAACAGCTTCCTCGAACTTCTTTGTCTTCTACATAGATGAATGCAACATTCGCACAAAGTAGCCCGCATTTTTGACGGTGGTTCCTGGTTTTGATTCAAACCCTTGCTCACAGATAGTCCTGAAGAGGTTGATACATTCCGAGGCAGTACGCTGCTGTACACCAAGCCCCAGGGCAATCATGCCACCTTTATCTGACGTTAGCTGTAGTTCTCATATGGTTGGGGAAAGTTCAAACTATGAGCGATCTTCAGACTTACCAGCACTGGTATCTAGAATGAGATCAAAAAATCGCCCAAGTGGCACATCAAGATCAATATGCCTTTCCAGGCGCTTTAGAAGCGTCAGCTCGACTACGCCGCGAACCCCACCACCGTCAAGAGACAGAACGCGATAGCTTGCCAGAGGCGGACGACTCTGTATTCTGAATGGCCAGATGGACGTATTCGAAGCTTGGCAAATCACACAGCTTTCGTGGGCATGGTTACCTGGATACCGTTGTTCGTCGGACGAAGTGTCGAAGTCTGCCAAGCAGTCTGCGCAGATAATGTGTGAAGATGGCAGAAAGAATTCAGGCTTGCCGTACAGGCACCCAAAATCTGTTTTGGGTCCCACAAAGTCGTTGCTGGTAGTACCGGTTTCCAAATTCCACGCAGGATAGCCTCCAAGTTTTCGGAGGTTTGCAAGGTGGTCCCTATGCTTCGCAGCTGCCTATCGTCGCCAGCTTTCCTGGTTCGTTGGCGATTCAGCATTTATCAACTGTATGGTCGTCCGGAGAACGGTTTTTATCGTGCCAATGAGCCGAGATCGATCGAAGTGGCACGCAAGAAAGGGTCCATCGCCCAAAAGCTTGCCAGTGTTGCTTTGGTGGCCTGCAGCATGTCCGTACTGGGAATTGACGCATTTCTCCCCTGATCCTGAGTCTACGAAGCCACATACGCTGACGATGGTTAAGAAAGCATTCGCAGCTTTTGAACATATCTCTATCATTTCGCCGTTGAGAATGACATTTGGGTGGGGAAGGAGGCCTAAAAGAAGTAACCTTAGAACGAAGAACACTAAGCCAATCTCATAATTATAACTACCGCCAACTAAAAGGTTCTGTGACTTACTACGTCCCTGAGTTCGATAACTGCTCAGCAAGATGCTTGAAGACAAAACTGCAGCAGTAGCCTCCAGTCGCTGTCCCATGTTGTTCTTAAGACAATGCCTGAAAAAGCTCGCAAAGTGATCTTCAAGGCTGGTGGGAATGGACAGTTCTTTCCGGCATTTATCAAAATCGAATGGCTCACGGTTACCCGATGCCAAATGTTCAAAGGCAAAGCGACTCACAAGGCTTAGTTCCCTGACATCGAAACGATTCCATGCCTTCTGCCTCAAGTGCTGAACACGAGCTGAGTCAAGTTGAAGTCTTTTTGAAAGCTTCGAGTATTGCCGTTCCATGATGTCTGTTGTACCCAAAGTCTTGTAACCTTGGAGAGGTATGGAGTGAACGTAAACACTCGAAAAGCTCTTCTCGAAAAGCTCTTCTCGAAAAGCTGTCTCATCGTTGACACTCTGAGTTGCAAGGGCATTGTCAGCCCGATTTCCCGGCACCAACGTTTTCTTGGACTGTACCTACACGAGACGCATGTTCCTGGATGGTGGCATTCCTAGTGATCTCCTTGTCAACAGCAGAGAAGAAGCTGTTAGTCACACAGTCCTGGCTGTCTGATATCCAACTCTCGTCTTCGATAGACGGCCCGTTGAGCACAATGACAAGAGCAGGCAATGCTTGTTGATTTATCGCACTCTGAGCCCCGATCATGGACCAGTCGAGGAGCTTAAGTGCGGAGTCAGCCCAGGCCTTGTGGTTCCTCATAACGAAGCACACTACATCACTAAAGATGTAGAGAAATCGGGGATAAACTTCGTTCACTGCGGTTCTTCTGTCCATCACTCTGCCGTCCCTTGTCTTCACCAGGTAGTGTTTGCCGTGCTCAACCCACTCTTTCTGTTGCTGTGCTGCGATCGGTTCGGTACCGACCATTCCGTCGCAGTCTGCATAGAGAGCTGGGCTTTCGGTGCCGAATGTCTCTGGGTCGAGGTATAGATTGACTTCTCCGGTAGTAGATTGAGTGATCGAGTCACCTGTGCTAGCCGCTGGTACCGGGGCTTCGAGGTTTACTATGGTATCTTGTCTTTTCGATAAGTACATCAATGATAGTACTACAAACAACATCGTCAGCCTCGCTGTCGAGTTGGGGTGTTGACGCAGGGTGGAAGCTCTCAGAGGCCAACTACAGTTAGGGGTAGAATGATGAATTACTGAAATCTGCTCCTCCCTCGACGTGTACTCCCTGCGCTGTATATATATCTGAGCTACTCCTTTGTTGCTTGGACTCCTTACTACCTCTAACTAGCCCCTATCCGGGAGGGCTCTGACACTCGCCTAGAAGCCAGCTGCAGGGAAGTGACAGATTGTGGAAGTGTAGTGCCATATGCAGCTTGTCATACAAGAAACCATTACCAATCGTAGATTTTCCAGCGTTTGTCTCTCCGACGAAAGAGGTTATACTGGGAAACTGCCTTTGAGGGCTGCGTTCACTGAAAGTAGTGGACAGCTTCATGAGGTCGGGGAGTCACTTTGTCTCCACAATAGTGGTTACTGAATTCCCGGTGTAGAGGCCGAACCATTTGGTGAACTCGTCCTCCTTGAAACACTTCGCTCTCAAATCAAAATGACTTAAGTTTAGATGAAGTCCGGAGACTTTGGCCCAGAACCTTTCGGTCTTCCTTGATCCACCCCGGCGATGGGCCTTGTGGCGCATGGATCGTTTGTCGAAGCATGGATCACAGAACGGGATGCCGCAACCGCACATGACGTCCCGAATTCTTTCCTCGCATTTCTCACACAATTCTTCTGGAGAACTCATTGTCAACGAATAGGGGAAAATCGATAAAATAAGTGACACGGCAGAGACAACCCAATCAAATGTGCAAACGAAGAGTGAATGAGTGAGTGAGTTTGTGATGGGATGTGGAAGTCAGCGCTTCCGCAAGTACAAGGCGCCTTGCCAAGTTACCCAAATCAACTAGTCAAAGTGATGCCATCGCCGCCGTCAATTAGTCAATCCTACATCCCTCGATTGACTTGAAATACCTGATTGTTTCACTTCTGGCTAATGAGAGGCCGTAGATCAGCTTAGGCCCCAGTTATTTGGGTATCCCTAGCTACTGAAACATGACGCTATTACTAACCTCACGATAATTTATATATATTTTGATAGTTATGGTTTTACTAACTGCCCTTATAATACTAGTTAAATTATAATCCCTTTGAAACTTTCTGAAGAAGTAGAGGTGATCGCGGCGGTTCGAATGGTATATATAAGCCTGTAATCGGACGCCGTTAGCAGGAGTTATTCATTATCCCATCTTCTACTCATTATTTTCAGCTATTTTCATCTAGTCTTATCAACTTCATACTTATAATGTCGACTGTTGCCACTACCGCTACTGCTGCCGCTGCCAATGCGTATAAGATATTAGGCGGTCCGTACCTCCGGATCTCGACGTAGATTACGGAGGCTCTGTTTACTAACCCGCCTCTGAATCCCATGATCAACGACCTCCGTCCTATCGTTATTAGTAGTCGGAAGTTTGTTCTTAAAGAGCAATTATTGCGAAGGCGTGGCCGTGGCCGCTCTAGCTGGATCCGAGAGCATAGTGTTACGGCCAGCTAGTCGTAGGGGTAGTTTGCAGAAGTTGAGGCTGCGGAACTGGTAACAGTAATCGTAGTCGTGGAATAGTTTCAAGGAAACTATGTCTGTCAATCGTAAGTGTAGGTAAGGCTTCGGTGATCAATCGTAGTCTTGTCAAGGTAGTAGCTGAAAGCGGATGTTAATCCTGATACGAAGTTAATTGCTGAAGAAGCTATGGGAAGTCTGTCCTAGAGCCCGGCTCGAGTCCATCCTATATACAAGTCCTGATCCTGAACATGTCCTTTGTCCCTTGGGTCGTCTTGGATCATTCTGATCCAGAATGATCGTTTAGCCCCCAAGTCGTGTTGGATCATATTGATCCCAAATGATCCTTATCTTATCATCACGTGACTTGTACCATAGTTCTTCCGTTCCGTGAGAGGGTGCCTTGTGTCCCCTTGTCCTGTGCAGGGGGTAGTCCAGAGGAGGGATAAGGCTCAGCTACGGGCCATCCGAGCTGAGGGAGAAAGATTATGGAGAAATGCGACCCAGCAGTCGCATCGACATTCCCGTGGAGAAGAACAAGCGATGGACTGTACCCCGGCGAATAAGATATAAAAGAAGAATATAGCCCTCTAAAACCCTGCAAATCATGTAAGCGAATGTGGGTAGGCGGGCATCCGCCCACGAAACAGCACTGAACCTGGTTTACGCAGCCCAGATCGATATAGTTAAGTCAAACCCCCCACTTCCTGGCACCCCCCTGTTTCTGGCACCCACAAAAACGCGAAAATCCACCACAACCCAATGCCCACCCCCAACCTCCTTTTATCACAACATTTTCAATTCGCGTCCAAATGGGCTCATCTTTTGCACATACCTTCTTCTATATCTAATGCCTCAATATACGGAAGATCAGCTTCGTCAGGCTCTCGAGGACATCTCAAACGGCAAGAGTCAAAAGAGAGCCTCATTGGAGTATGGGATACCACGAGCAACCCTCCAACTACGTCTCCAAGGTGGTCAGACTAGGAAAGTGGCTTTTGCTGACTGGCAGAGGCTGTCTCCTGACCAGGAGAGTAAGCTGGCACAATGGGTTCGCATTCAGGCTTCGCTGGGCCTCGCACCAACGCACCAACAGGTGAAGGAATTCGCAGAGCGAGTTCTGGCTGCTGCTGGGGATACCAAACCACTGGGAAAAGGCTGGATCTATGCCTTTGTGAGAAGGAACCCTATCATTAAGGTTCAGAGAAGTCGTTCTATCGATTCTAGACGCGTTAATGGGGCATCTACTGAGGTCATTAGGGACTGGTTTAAGTTCCTCGCTATCCCTGAGATCAAGGACATCAAACCAGCCAACAGATATAATATGGATGAGACTGGCATCCTCGAGGGTCAGGGAGCTAATGGGTTAGTGCTGGGTATGGCTGAGACGACGTCTGTTCGCAAGAAACAACCTGGGTCGAGGGCATGGGTCTCTATCATTGAGTGTATCTCAGCCTTGGGTAGGGCACTTCGTCCTCTTATCATTTTCAAGGGGAAGACAGTCCAACAGCAGTGGTTTCCATTACATCTCGTTCCATACGATGGGTGGGAGTTCACAGCAACAGATAATGGCTGGACTACAGACTTAACTGCCATTGAATGGTTAGAGAAGGTGTTCATCCCACAGACTATGCCTGAGGCTGAGGGGGAGGCTCGACTGCTGATTGTGGATGGGCATGGGAGTCATACGACGACAGACTTCATGTGGAATTGCTATATTAACAATATCCATTTACTGTTCTTACCACCACACTCCTCTCATGTCCTCCAGCCTCTTGACCAGTCTGTCTTCAGCCCTGTTAAGTCAGCCTATCGGAAGGAGCTCGGTTACTTGTCTCAATGGAACGACTCTACCATTATAGGTAAAAGGAACTTCCTGGACTGTTACCAGAAGGCTTGACTTGCTGGTCTATCAGTCTCGAACATCAGAAGTGGTTGGAAGTGGACTGGTCTACACCCTGTGGCGATGGTTAAGCCCCTGATGAACCCTATGGTACTACCTGAGCCTCCTGCTAAGCCCACCACACCCAAACCAACTAGTCAGGGCAGAAAGCAATGCCATAATGGTCAACAAACTACCCCTGTTGAGCCATGGGATTCTGCCTCCTCTGCAGTGGTCTGGTCGACACCCAGGAAGCTGGCAGAGCTCAGCGGTCAACTGCACTTATACACCCAACTCGACAATGATACCAGCACTCAACGGCTGCTATTCAGGAAGGTGAAAAAAGGCTTCACAGAGCAGGCCTGGCAACTGGCAGCTGCCCAGCAGCAACTAGCTCACCTGAGGGCTCAAGTTACCAACGCTGCAGTGAGGAAGAGGAAGACTGTTCAAATCGATCCCAACACGAAGTTCGCGAACATCAGGGATATCCATCGGGCTCAAATCGAAGCGGGTGAAAAGGAGGTTATCACGGCTGAATCCAGCGACTCTGAATGCCCTAGTGAGGCTGGCAGCTGTATTGTAGTGGGTGTGGTTGAGGATCAATAGTTAATAGTAATGAGGAGGTCGGGTTGTGATCCCATCGTTTT